GTCGTGATAGTGAGTTTCTCATAAATTCCTTTTATGCACTTTTACAAAACAAAAACTTTCTACTGAGCTTACTTCATTCCAATTAATATTTATCTCTACTGTGCACTTAATAAAGCAAGCAAATTATGACCCTTAATTGCTATCTGATCTTTATTCGTAACCAGTACCTTTTAATTTGGTCCGACTTATTATTGTTGATCGAAAAGATGTAAATGTGGAATAAACTGATCTCAGTGAATGAACCAGCAGTGCTAGCAACATTGTTGAAAGCTACGACTTACTGCACTTTAATTAGAGAACGTGCGGTCTATAGAGAGCAGCAACACGACCACATATAAGCGCGCTTATCCGAGGAAAGATAAAATGCGCATCGTAAACTTTCTCCAGTTATCCGAAGCTGCAGCTATCTAACGAAGCTTCTGCTGGTGTTTCATAATTCAATGAAGATCAACTTTATTGATAACAGAAAGCTAAGTTTATTAAAGAGATGCATATCAAATTGGTACATCCGAAATGTTTCTGAATACCTCCATCTGGCTGACATGATGAAAACGAAATAAAATAACTGAAAAATAAATTGGAACAGATAAACCAGTTATCAGGCTTTATGAGTATGGGGGCAAATAACATATTATTATTATTATTATAACATATTATTCAAATTTAAAAAGTAATCCAGATGAATTTATATAATATACTAGACGATAATTTTTAACATGAAACAATAATACCAACTAAATAATTACAGACGAGAATCACACAACGTATGAAACAACAATTTGATGTCATCGTACAGTATATTGGCACAGAAAAGGATTAGAGCTTTTTAAAATGAATGCAAACTCCTTCATATTGCGCTGCAAAAGATTTAACAGCACGAGACCGAACGGTTGGCAGAAAGAAGCACGCAACTCACTTCGTCTGTAAGAGCATTGCTCCGAGTTTGTAACGTATTCTCTGCACGCAATGCAAGTTGCGAGCCTCCGCCTTCCACTGAAAAGGTTTAGCACGACATGTAACGTGCGCTACACATTTTTCAACGGTCTCTGTACCACGCGTGTTGCACGTTACAGACCTCATATACCAGAGGCTGCTGCACTGAACAGACACCATACGTACAGTCTTCGCATCGGTTCAAATTTTTAGTGCACTGAACGTGTACAGTGTAGTGAATGCGTAACTCATTTCATCTCAGCAAAATAATTCATATTCATTTATTCTTCGAGACATCGTGTTATGGTAATTTAATCTATTTTAAACTATGTTTTTAATGTCATATATATCTTCATTTACAGTAAATTAATATATTCTATTAACGTGAATAAAGTAAACCAGTTTTGCTTTGTTTCCCACATGACTTGATTTCATATTGTGCTAATGATAAAAATTCGTCATTCACCTCAAATTTAACTTGTAATAAACTGTACAGCGGTAACGTGCAAGTTTGGGCACATTGAATGTTCCCCCGTTTGCATCGTCAGCTGCAGCGTTTACATGCAGCTAAGAATATCTCAAACTTTACACTCAATAATCCCACTCGTCACATGTACGTTATCATACATAAATAACACACATTGTAAATCAGTAGCAAGTAAAATCTATACCGTGAGCTGCACATGTGCATACTGTGCTGCAAGCGGTACAGATAAGGCAAGCGTATATAACAGGCGCTGTGCTGCATATGTAATGCGTACTCTTCGGTTCCCGAAGACTGCACCGTCTGTAACGCCTCTGGGGAGGCCACCCAATCATAGGTTACAGTTGAGGAAATTGGCGATATTTTGGCCTTCGATTTATGGACCTGTGGACAATCCAATCGAGGTCACGGTTGTTGCGAATACTATTTCGCACACCGCACACATCGATAGTATAATATCTTGGGGTCGTAAGGGATCATATGCTAGAAAATAATTTATCAAATGCGTTAGGGTGCGGTATACGTATGACGCGATTATTAAGTTTATTGGGGAAATTATTCGCCGTTGTAATTATTTCTTATCACAATGAAAATACTGATATGGATATACATAATTTTCCTAAAATGTGTATAATATACACAGAGAATAGAATGTGCGCGAGATCATTTCTCTAACCTAAGCGAAACAAAGTGCAGTGTCACTGTTTGAACAACACAATGCCGTGTCACTTCAGTCTTTGTCCTCTGCTCGGTGCCTTCCATTCCATCTAATTTGTGTTTTTTCATCTGAAGCATGTTAGGTGAGCATATAAGAATAACCTAATTTATTGTAAAAGAAATTTAGTAATTTTTTCCATCGAAGCAGTTTTGATAGAGTAGGCATGCACCTTTAGTTTGTTAGAAATATTACATGAAAATATTTATAACCCAGTGCGACCAAAAATAGGTCCAAATTACTGCTGGCAAAGAGTTGGTGTAAGGAAGTGGTTATTTTATAAAACAAAAATACGCCTCATCGTAATGAGTCTTGTACAAAATTCTACTTTCTTTACTTGGGATGCGACTGTTAGCAACACGAAATTATGAAGCTGCAGTTTTATATTTTTTATACAATGAAACTCATTCATTCCGCTGTTGGCTTTTCTGAATATAAAAAGGCTTCAAATTAGCCACCAGGAGTGTTTTGAAAACAAGGGAGCATATCGAGGGTTCTGAAATAAATTGTCCCTCGAGTCTGTTTTGCCGAAAAAAAATCAGTTTGATCTTAAGAGTAGATTTCGGGTCAGTGATACGCAAGTATCCGGCAAGAAGCTGGGGCGTTTGGGCGTTACTGGTCTTGAACTTGACATTGCAGCGCACGAAGGTCGGCTATATGCTTCGTCACGGCTAAACTTAGATGATCTCGCCCTTGCATACGAGAACCGGGGTGATCTCTTGCATACGAGATGCATGTCACTGTAGTCAACTCTGATACTGAGATCGTGTTGATTTTTATCAAATTTTAGGCCTATCATATTAAAGACAATGTTTTTAAGCAAAGTTATTCCTTGAATTTTTTTGGTAGGCAATTTTTTTCACATATGATGACTGAAATTGTTTTAAATTATAATATATACTAAGTGTGATGAGAATGGTGAAATAGTAAACTAACCGTCAAATTGGCGAAAATATTAATGGAAGAAAACTCCTGAAGTGCTGAGTAATGTTTTCAGCTAGAGTTAGAACCGAGCGAAATAGTTCTTCAAAAAGCCTTGGTTTCTCCGCAAGCCGATCTATGGCTCGACCCTGGTCGTTTAGAAGCTCGTAATGCGCGCGCGTTTGACGAACCAAACTAAATAATTTGAGTGTTCCGCAATTATTGGTCAGGGCCGTCGTACGAACTGTGAGAGAGTCTCATGAGGTGGCCAGCATTCCATTCAGTTTGTTAGAGCAGAGCAAACACTCGCGTAAACTCATGAATGAATTTTCGTGAATGAGAAGATTTAAGCATATTTTCTAAAACAAATTATTTTATATTTATAAGTCATGATGACCCGTGTAGCAATATAGGGGTTCGTACATCTCCCTTACTATTGAAGTATGAAAAATCATGCAATTTCACGACTGCAGGGAAGTGACCGATTTAATTTTAAGCTTGAATAATTTACGCTTAAAGAAAAAAAAGGATTCCTTTTTATATAATTTAATCAATATAAATTATTATTTAATAATAATTAGTAAACGATATTAATAATAAATTAATGTTAAACGTTAATTATAAACAATAAATTAAATAATTATTAATCCCTAATTAATAATGATTAGAAATTTATATTGTTACTTAATAATATTTATTACTAATTAATATCAAGTGATATGTCAATAGTAATTAACATCAATTGTTAATTATTACCAATTAATAATTGATTTAAAGTAAATTATATCAAAAGAAATATTTTTTTACAGCGTAAATTCTTCAAGCTTAAATCGGTTACTTCACTGCAGTGAAGTAACCGATTCACGAAAATTCATTCATGAGTTACTTCCACTTCTAAAACACTAGGGGATAATAGACTCTGTCATCCTTATGAATAATGAAAATAATTGGTGATATAAACAACCAAACTTTTCTACCATCAATCAATCTCATCCATCATTATGATTTTACTCGAGCAGCAAACATGTTTCTGTGTAGTATTTTTCAATGAGAATATTTAATTCTTTGAATTCAAGATGGTTTTAAAGATGTCATTTACAGCGTAGGAAACTCAGACAAGAAACTCTAGCGTATGTATATCAAACTATTTCTATCTGCCATCGTTAACCTTGTTACTGACTCGGTAAGATACATGGGCTCATAATGCGTGGAAGCACCAGACTTTCCGAGACAATAACTCGATCAAAGATGGTCTATAGAAATCCTTCGATATAGGCCAGAGTTTCTCACCTGAAGGTCTTACATACACTGTAAAAGCCTTCTATGAAGCACCGACAAGTCCCGTTCTTAAATGAGAACAATAGTCAAGCTGCATGCACTGTATCTAGATCTCACTCACATTTTTGTTCATTTGTCTCGCTTATTAAAACTTTCAGGCCGACGTGACGAGACGACCATCTTCATCGAGTAGCAAATGATGAAGTTCCCGCTATATTACAGCCAAGGAGCCGTCGAGCTTTCCTTTGTAGCTAAGGCGATTGATTATAGAAATGTGCTTTTATTCTCTAGAGAATGTGCACAGACTTACAGCGTTGTTCAACCATTACCAATTGTATATTAAATGGGAATTACTGTGACACCAGTAGTATCTTAGAGCAAAGAACTTATTGTGAAGAAATTTTCCATAAACTAATTTTTGTTGTGAAGCAAAAAAAAAAAAGTAGAGCACATTCTCATAAGACCCTTCTTCACAAAGCTTTAGGATGTGTATACAACAAACAATATTAAATTCGCCAAAATAACAATTGTTAAATTATTATTGATAATAAAGAATATTTTCAAAAGAACATATCCGAAAGCTTCTGAAATGTTAATAATATTCTCATTATTTGAATAGAGAGCAATTTTTCTGCTGAAGTATAAATGTTATTCCAAAAATTTGTTTTTCAGATAAAAGTCACCATCATGGTCATTCTTTAATTTTATTTTGCCTTGAACCTTTTAGTAACTAACGCTCGTATAGCTTTTATTTTGTATTAAATTTTCGTAGTGAAAATGACCGCACTTCACTGCAGAGGTATTTCGTCACTCGTTTACAGTCTTGGAGCATTACTGCTGCTGGTGAGTGTGCTGTCATATTCTCCGTACAGAGCAATTGATGTCAGTTTCCAAGGAATATTATTGTTTACTCATGTATTTGTTATATCATTTCGATCTTGAGATAAGAATATTCTAATATCTGCCATTTATATTGTTTCCGTAATAATAAATTTTTCATAGAATGGACACAGAATGGCTAATTTATGACATTTTCTTGGACCAGTCATGGACTTGTGAGACGAACGCGTTGTTCTCGCAAGCTTTTTGTCTCGACGACTCGGACTGCATCAGCAACTCCCTCCCTGGGGGAACGCACTTCCCACTTGCACGGTCCCTCGCTGGGGGAACACAACTTATTTGTGACAAGGGACGGTGCAAGTGTCCCCCATACCATCTGCTGGTGAATGGGACGCTTTGTCTCCCAGGTGAGTAATCGAGGAGTGTGAGCAAGATAATACATTACCTCTTATACACATTACATATCATAAATTTTTCTATTTATTCTTTGGAAGCATCCTATGCTAATTTCTCATTTTGAAGTAATATATCTTATTTTATCTTTTCTTATCAGTAATTAATCACTTCGCATTTGTGAATCATATGAACCCGCATCTTGTAAGTTCTATATCTTTATCTTAGGACATGTGTTAGAAATTTCCTTCTTAGTTGCACGGTACAACATTTGCCTAAAACTTGTCGAGGCGTCTGCCAATTTTAACTTATAATTCGAATCCCATTTTGGTGACAGGTCGTCTGCTCGGCTTCAAGTGTGACTCTGACACGCAATGTCGGGTGCGGGTTGCCATGTCGGGGTGCGTGCAGGGGGTGTGTCAATGCGGTGACGGCTTCACCCCATACAGGAGGGCCAACTGTCTGCCAGGTGGGTGGTTTCACCCCATACAGGAGGGCCAACTGTCTGCCAGGTGGGTGGCTTCACCTCATACAGGAAGCCAACTGTCTGCCAGGTGGGTGGCTTCACCCCATACAGGAGGGCCAACTGTCTGCCAGGTGGGTGGCTTCACCCCATACAGGAGGTAAGTTGATGGTTTCCGTCATTGAATGGCAGTAAAAAAAGCCAAATTATCATTCAAAAGCAATTCGTATACAATTTTCAGTACAATTTCAACAATATTTTTATTCAATTTGTAATTGAAATTCAGACTCAATCAAGCTCAGATTTGAGCTTGAATTGATGTCAATTTTTAATTAAAAATTTCATTTTCATTCAAATTGTACCGCAATTGAAATTTGTCCTTATTATTATTCAACGAAGAGTTTATTGCGATGGGTACGACTGGCTTTCGATGGCACGTCACACACTGACGAATTTGAATACTATGAATAAGCTTAATTTATTTATAATTAATTGCATTACTAACGCCCTGCATAGCGTCGAAGGCTGGCGAGGTGTGTCGCACTCACGGCCAATGATGAAATTGAATATCATGACTAAGCCTAATTTATTTATAATTAAGTGTATTACTAACGCCCCGATAGCGTCGAAGGCTGGCGAGGTGTGCCGCACTCACGGCCAGTGTCGCCTGTCGTCGCCACACGCGCACTGCAGCTTCTCCGTGCCGCGCGTGATGGGGCGCTGCAGCTGTGGTCCCGACCACTCCAGCACCAGCGACGGTCTCTGCGCGCCCAACATTCTGGGTACGACACAATTTGTAATACTTTATTAATGCTTACATTTCTGTCTGTAAATAAATTAAGCATACTTTTTTAATACTTTATTAATGCTTACATTTCTGTCTTTGTGCTTATTAAGCATAAATATATCACTTAACTTGTTTACATTTCATGTTTGTATTTCCGACTTACACCCTTCATCATGTCGTTGGTATTTAGCGACTTTGCTCGTGCTACTTTAATGTGTAGTTAACTATAGAATAGTCGGATAGTATTCGAAATTTGATCGACTAGTAATTTATTAACTAAGTTCAGATAATCATTCTGTGGCAGCCATTTCAGCTGTTATCCTTTGTCAGTCAGTTTTTTTATTTTTTTTTTATTGTTCACAATTTCTGCTTCTGTTTCATATCATTTTCCTATTTTTAAAGCACTTTTTTCAATATTCTCAGCTGGTCTTCAGGAATGAATTTAGAGTTTGATTCAAGCCATTTTTACGATCTCTCTTCGAATGCACTCCGCAGTTGACTTTTTATTACTTCGTTTAAGTACATTTTTTTGCAATGCAAACGCGATCGCTCATCCATAAGCAATATTTTACAGACAGTGTAGTCGACTTTATACAGTTTAGGCTCTTAAATCGAGGGATGAGAAAGTATTTCAAGAATTTGTTCTATAGCTTCACCGTGCTGTACAGTTGGAGTGACAAGACAAAAGCTCTTACCGCACTCGAGCTTAAAAAACTTTCGTACGGATTTCTGCAACGCATTGTTTGTGCTCTGTGTAATCGACGAACAGAGATTTTGAGTGACGTTTATCTTGTTGAAGCTTCGAATTAAAACAACCATTAGTCATTCTTTAACGTGATAAACGCTATAGTATATGTTTCTATCTATTTTTTTATAAAATGCGATTGTATAAATCAATGAGACAATGTATAGTAAGAGTTTTCTTGTATTTTCACTTGGAATCACTTTTGATTCAACCTCATTAACCTTTTTCGAAATTTTGAGTGTCGGCGCCTCTTTAAAGCAATCCTCCTATATTCGTGATCGTGACTATCTGGATTAACAAAGATTTGAATCGACAGTGAGGCGGCAGAACGGTTCTTCTGAGAACCTGCGAATCGGAGGTTTTAAAAAAAGCTATTACATTTTGATACAGTAAACTTCAGTAAACCAATGGCGCAGAAATAAGAATGCTTCCCATTTTTTTACAGATAATGAGAAAACAAATGCTTCCCGGGTAATGGGAAGCTATCATCTACATCTTTTTTACTTATTTTAATTTAATTAGGTTCGTGGGGGACAGAAGAAACCAAACGTATAGAAATATATTTAAAGATGATCTTTGAATATACACTACGTACATAAGACTACTGGAGCGTATCTGCAATTAACAACCAATCGATCTACGAACATGTACCCAACCACGAGAAATCATCAACGCACACATTCTAACGCGTTTGGAAGAACAATAAAGCTATCAGGTTTTTCTGCCGGGTGTATTGGATGTACCCACTTTCTAACACAGTGCCACTCTTGAATTATATGTAGACTCCTACATTATGTATATACTCGCTTATCCTGTAAGCATTATATATTACCTAGGCATGTCCAGCATCCAAAAGAGCACAAACCAGGCCAAAAATTTCGGCTACTTTCAAACGCATTTATGGCCAAAAGAAATGTAAGAGACGTGTAAACTAAAGAAGCTGTCTGTCCCTTATTGCCAGGTCTCGGCTCATCGTGCAGCAATAGCAGGCAGTGCAACAGACGAGTGAGAGGCTCAGTGTGCAAGGTTGCAGAGAAACATCAGGACTCGGCGCAGTCCAGGAAGTTTCACCGTCTCACGTCAGTGCCGGGCGTGCTGCGTGAGGAAGAGAATCCTTTCAATGAGCTCTCGGGCGGAGGATTTTGCGACTGTCCGGATGGTCACGCGCGTGACAACTTCAAGTGTATCCCTCTTGGAAAAGGTTATTTGTCTTCTCATATGCAGTTTGCTTTGTACATAAATAATAGAGCAATTTTTGTGTGTTTCATTCTGAAACATTTATCTAGTTCTTCGGCAATTAGTGACGATCAGTTAGATAAGCTCAAAAAATTTACGTAAATAGATTATTGCAATATTACGATTTTTATTATTATTTTAAGTATTTGTAGGTTTTATATTTGAATATCTAAACATGATTCTAAACGTTTAGAGTATCTGCTAAGTGATAGCATAATCCATTCACAACCATAATGTTTATGCCAATTCAACATTCAAATCATTCCTATAACTATTCTATCATTACACTATAGCTCAACAGTAATTTTTATGATATTTTTTTATGACTCTATAGTAATTCGCATAAGTACAATCATCACAATGTATCTCAATGATAAAGTTTATGATAATTTTCTTTGTAATCATTCGCATAGCAACTATCATTACAATGTATCTTAGCGCTAAAGTTTATTATAATTTTATAATTATTCGCATAGCAACTATCATTACAATGTATCTTATCGCTAAAGTTTATTATAATTTTATAATTATTCGCATAGCAACTATCATTACAATGTATCTTATCGCTAAAGTTTATTATAATTTTATATTCATTCGCATAGCAACTATCATCACAATGTCTCTCACTACAGAGATCGGAGAGTCTGCGGTGTCTCTGGGCCAGCGGTGCGCGCGGGACACGCAGTGCAGGGCCGCAGACCCGCACACTTGGTGCCACAACGGCGTGTGTGACTGCGTCGTCACCACAGCCAAGTGCTCGGCCACTGCCACCGGCTGCCATCCCGACACATTCCAGGTAAGTTGAAGTTTCTACATGTGTGAACTAGAGACACACATAGGCCTATAAAGAGAGTGTGACTGCCACCGGCTGCCATCCCGACACATTCCAGGTGATGAGGCCAGAAATGATCTGTAGCAAAATATCTTTAATTCTTCGTATTGAATCTTTTGCTATTGATATCATCCAGGTGCTGGAATTAATTTTTTATTCCTTACTCTGTCGACGTGCCGAAATTCTCCATGTTGTGAAATAAATCTCCTAGTCTTGATAACTTCCAGGATATGGAAAAAGGGATTTTTTACTTGAATTTAGAAGACAGATTTAGTATACCTACTCAGAAGACTTATTCCATGGATCCTGTTCCATTCCCAAATTTTTTTGGTTTCGACACATTCTAGTTTATGTTCACCTCGACCATGTCCAGTTCAAGGAATGTTGCGCAGTATGCAAGTCATGAAAACTATATTCGTTATTCAGAATAAAATCAATAAAATCACTGCCTTATTCAATTACTCGATGCCTATATGCTATTTTTCGAGTGGCTAACTTCTGAGTTTTCCAATTTTACTTACTGCTCTTGAATTTATTCATATATGAATCTAACTTTTATGGAACCATTTATTACTTTTTTTTACTAAATACAGGTAATAAATGAAATTTTTTAAATTATTTTTTAATAGAAGTAATAAATCAGATGTAAATCTAGCCTCCGTTGTTCCGACTCAGTGCGTCTCAAGCGGTCAGTGCATCAGCGCGCATTTCGTATGCGACGGCGCGCCGCAGTGCGACGATCACTCCGACGAGGCGCAGTGTCACGGGGGGCGCTGCTCCCAGCACTCCTTCAGGTGCCCAAGCGGACGCTGCATTTCCAGGGGCTTCCTTTGTGACGGCATCAAGCACTGTGAAGATGGGGCTGATGAACAGCCTTGCAGAGATGGTTAGATTGCATCAGTTATTGATGAAAATTAATGTTACAAATTACTCAAACCCTGTGCTGATGGCGATAAGTTACCAGTTATAAACAGCTTTATGGAGCAAAGGAGTTTCTATAATATTGAAACTCTATGTTAAATGTCGAAATTTAATTTGTAATATGTGAGCTATTTAACCTTCAAACTCCAGTTTTCGTTTTTATCATTGACTGTTACTTTTTCCCAATATACCTGTTATATGTATGACAGGGGGGATGAATCAATGTTAAATAAAGCTAAAATTTATGAAAAACTCTGTCCATCAGACTGTCCTCCGTCAACGTTCAAGTGTGGCGACGGCCGCTGCTTGCCAGGCTACGTCTTCTGCAACGCCAAGCCGTCCTGTGGCGACGCCAGCGACGAGGAGCACGCCGCCTGCATCCTGGGGGCGCCGCGCCTGCAGTATTGCCCCTTCAGGTGCGTCACTTCTTAAAATACAGGGTGTTCCTTGTAGTAAATGGTTTCTATTGATTAATAATAAGTCATTAAAAATAATTTAATGATAATTAATCATTTTTTGGCTGATAGCTGCCTGGCGCACTAATGAAATTGGAAGTTGTAATCATAATCAAGGTTCCCTTTTTAAAAACACCGGCAGTCTCTAAATGTTGGAATTGAAGTAATGGTCACTTCTTCGGTAGATTTTTCGACTATGGATTTGTTACTCTAAAACTACGGATTTGTTACTCTAGATTTGTTACTCTTAGTTACTTTCTGCGTCGTTTGGAAAAGTCATGGAAATTTCACTTTCGGCGGAGATTTTCTCGCAGGCTCACCAGTTAAAAGAACAGGTGTAACGATTTAACGGCAGATGCCATCAGCCTCACCTGCCGTGCTCATTAACCACTTCTACTCGTGCAGGTGTAACAACGGCAGGTGCCATCTGCCTCAGCTGCCTTACTCATTAACCACTTCCACTCGTCCAGGTGTAATAACGGCAGATGCCATCAGCCTCACCTGGCTTGCTCGTTAGCCACTTCTACTCTTGCAGGTGTAACAACTTCAGATGCCAGCAACCTCACCTGCCTTTCTCATTAACCACTTCTACTCGTGCAGGTGTAACAACGGCAGATGTCGATCAGTGTCCGTCTTATGCTCAGGCACGGACGGTTGTGGTGACAATAGCGATGAAGAAAAGTGTGAAGTTTGCTGTGAGTTTTAACTAAAATTATACAAATGGGTTTTTAATATTTATTAATTAAAATGATTGAATCAGTCAGATATGGCCTGGAAGGCACCCTTAACAATTTGTTGAACCAATAATTTTGATACTTTTGAATTTAAAACTATGTGTAATTTTATATGTAAATTTTCGAGTGACAGAAAATAATATTGAATTTATTGGCGGCAGGACAAATTTGAGTCTACCTATCTATGATGTCAATTTTTTTTATTTGTGTTTGATTAATGTTTAATATTCCAGCGTGCCCTGCAGTGTGACTGAAATGAAGACGATTAGAAGCAAACGCAATTATCAGAAATCAACAGGAACGAAAAAGTTCGCTAGTTTCATCGCGTATCTTCTATTACCTTCCATCCATTTCGAAGTTGTAACAAATTTTACTTCTAAAGTTACAAATTAGTATTGTGTAATGGGCGAATGAAGACTTTAATTATTATTTATATAAAAAATTAGGGTTTAATTTAGCTTTTAAGTTTCTAGGATTTTTGGGCCAGAAATTCAATATTGACAATGAAAGAAAATATAAAAGTGGCGGTTCACTTTTCAAATTATAAGTGAAGTCATCATCAAGCGGACATTTAAATAATGATGCCATAATTATGAGGTGCATAATTTGTCTTCAGCTTGTTTACCCAATTTGTGGGACGTGAGTAATTATTGCTGATGCCATTTATTTATTCCAAAAATATCTTTGCAGTTTGAATTCAACATTTATCTCTCCTATGAAACATTTCGCCTGATATTATTCGCAGTGATTTCTACTGTTTATTTTCTCTGAAGCGTTTATTCTGAAGTTCAAATTGTTCTTCCAAAGTGTCTGTGTAATTTATTTGTTATAGTTTGGTAAATTTATATCATTTTTGCAAGGTTGTTTGTTGTAGTGCAAACTTTCTACAACTTGGCTAAGTGAATTAATTCTTTCACATAACATTTGCAGCAGAAATTACAAGTAATCTGAAAAATTGTAACAGGAAACTGAAATGATTCCGTGGCGTTCACTTCGACACTTGATGGCATTAATCAGTAGGATGTATATTGATGATGTATAAAATATGTAGGTTAGCTCGGAGTTTCATAAGAAAAGACAGCTTTCAAATCTTGCAGAAATATTATAGTTTCAACTGGGGTGTGGAAAATGAACCCAGCCCGCCTGATGACGTCAACATTACAAAATAACCAACGACGATCTTCGTATAGAATCTGTAAACTAAATAGTATAAACAAACATGCTATTGTTGATATGCAACGAAAACATTTGGATACGACAACAGTCCGAATCGCCTCCAAATTTCATTCAGGTCAACTTTTTTCACCGCTGTTCATGTTCACATACCTTTGAAAAAACATTCAGACAGTTTAAAATTGCTGAATATTTGCGTCAAAGCATTTATATTTTATTTTCCGTCCTTAAGCTGAATTAAAAAAACCGTCGTGAATGGATCATGCGTACCTATTAGAAGAGAAGAAAGGCTAGAAATTATAAGCTAAAAATTATTTCAATGCAAGATTTTTCTATCGTTTGAAGTGTTTTTTCCCTAGGGTTTAACAATTCGAGGTTTTTTTACTCAGTACTTTTCCACGTTGTACTTTTATTTCTACTTACAACAATTAAGTATGATCCCAATTGTACATACTTAAGCCAGTTATCTGTATGCCAGAGGATTTTCCTGTGTAGTTTACAATTGTATCAATAACGTGTTCTTGCTGTGAGTTATAATGAATTTTTGATAATAAAAACATCAAGATAAGTGAAAAATTTTATTTATGCAACTGAATAAGCATAAGTTCTTGTCATTATTTCTTAAGTACACGAGCGAACATCAACAAATCCTTTGATTGCATAGGTGATAAAAATAGTAAAGCTTAACACTTACACTTGGCAACATTCAAACATTTCACGGGAAGGCAATAAAGCACAGGCTAGTTATACGAAGCATAGGCACTATAAAAGGCAGTAGAAACAATAAATTTACAGTTACACTGAGAAACTGTAATATTACATTACATGTAATAAAATCGTGACTTTGCTATAGAGAATTTATTACTTGCGACAACGAAGACTTGTCACGAGCTTTATATTTTCGAAAGCATGCGTTTTAACGTTGAATTTGTAATATTGAAAAGCAATTAGGATGTCCAAAGTGGGGATGTTATGAATTAAACCTTAATTTAGACAATAACATCATTGTCATCAATACATGGATCGTCCGAAAAAAATATATTTCAAAACATGTCATTCAAGATCGTAACGATACAAGCTGCCACTCCTGCTGCCATTCGTTCTTGTCCCTCCGCGGTAGTGGTAGAAAACAAATGAAACAAACATTTTTCCTGGTTAAAAGTAAACTAAGTTTCGCAAAATAGGCTAAAAATCTTGAGAGTACATGATATTTTTCATGTGGTTAAAAAACACGATGTACAGTATAAGGCAGGGTCATTACATGCGACTTGATTTGTTCGTTGAAAGTCAATTGTGTCTATCATAACATTGAAGTTTTAAACATAAAATGAGTTTTAAACATAAAATGAGTTTTAAACATAAAAATGAGTTTCAAACATATATGTGTAGTTTTAAATTCAAGTTCTTCGTCAATTTAACAACCGACGATTCAGATCGTCATAATTCAAAACTTTGGTTGTAGCAAGTAATCTTTTCGGTATAAAATATTATTTTTTAAATCGTCCATTGCCTGAATGCGAAAAAATGAAACGCAGCAGCGAATAAAATTTTCTCTACTCTTTGCTTTATGAAGAGATAAAGAATAGCTTGTGAGTAATCCGTTGGATTGTGACAGGTGGATTTTAAGTAGAACATTAAACTGAGTAATCACGCTGAAAAATAAATCGTTAAGCAGACTATCTACAGTTGGTCTTTGAGGAGCTGAACAATCAAGCAATCAGGTTAGGTACGAGATTGGTTACTTGTTGTCACTTATAACTGGATGGCATGTAACTATATATGATTACATTTTATCATGGTTAATAAGTACATAAATCCATTTTCAGTAGTATTGCGACACTAGCATTAGAATATGGCACATAAACGTACACTATTATAGCTTTAAGAGGCATCTTCTATGGAGTTTTGAAAGACTGTTGCTAATTTATTTGGCAACAAATAATTTCTATTTAGTTGTTCTAGCAATGTAGCTAATATTTTCTTTCACTTAATTCTTTCCTCGCTTTAATCACAGGATAATTAAAAAAGCAGCCAACAACCACACACGAAAAGCACTTACGATAACATTTTCATTCCATTATCAGAGCAGGAAACGAAATGTGTCTGAAGAATTTTTTTCCTATAGTGATTTCGTAGACCGTTTCAAACGGAGGTATCAAACAACACAAAATTATTTTTCTATAAAATTTGGTGGATAGACTCGGCACAGCATGACAAGTACATAAACAAACAATTTCTGTTCTAAGGAGACAGAAGACAACGTAAACCTTCACGTAAAAATATCCAGCTAAGTCAAGTTGTTCCGTCAAAGTTTTTGGTTTTTCTGTTTCCTCTCTTCCCTCGGGTCCCTGATGTACTCTCTGCAACAAACAATCGGAATATTATGAATAGTATAGATAAAAATTGGCATTATTTATATTACACTACATAGATAAAAATGAAACAAAAAAATATTTCCTCGGCTTGACGATGCAATGCTGGAGCCGAGAGCCTGATATTTCATGCAATTTGCACAGCATTTTGAAGTATACGTTAAAAGCACCAACGATATGTTCCAAATTACATACATGCTCCAAAAAAATGTATTTTATGAATGAAAGACTTGATTCCTTATTTGTACTTTATTCAAATATTATTGGGTGTGAAAATTGAGAAGAGTGAGTGAAAATTTTTTAGTGGTTTCATTTCCTCAACGAGGGACATATCTATTTTTCCAAAAGGTTTCCAATCCCACAATGATCGGATTCATATCAATTATGCGTGTTTTGAAAAAAGTAATTAAATCCACATCGTTAAGGTAATACATGTAATAAATAGAGCACAGGAAGGAGAAACAATGAAATGATGAAATATATAATAAAAAATGAAAAAGAATAAAAGAGTGATGAGAAGAAATAATGAAAGGGTATGCAAAAACAAAGGAATGCTATCGTGTTGGCAGCATAATTCATCATTCGATAACAATTTACTCCTCTAACGGCGAGTTAAAAAATCACTGGTTTTCGCACGGTTGAATTCGGGAAAAATCCAGTTCGGTGCCTCAACTCGAAAAACAAAGTTTGTCAGTCAAGGAATTTCGGCTTCTTTAGCAAAACTATTGATTGGGATTTAGCATAGGCTGTAACAAGACCAGGTTTCATTTTCGAGAGCATTTTTTAATTTAAACACTGAATGAATTTTTAGGTGAATAAGTTTTGGGACAAGTTTAGGGTGCGTCGTGCTTGAGTTAATTAGCAGCAGTAAAATCTACACGTCGGTGGTCAACGCCGATACAATGTATATAACATAAATTTCGACGTTACAGTAGGAATACTTTAGGTGACACTAAATTCAAATCGATTCAAATAAGCTCAATAATAGAAAAATATTACGGACCATGGAGTTGAATCTATTTTCTACTGAATTGTTCTAATCGCCGTTTCTTCCATTTATTGATTCCGTCAGCATAGTTGGATTGCTTTTCAATAATTTGTAAAGAATATTTTTACAGAACTTCGCATCGGTCTTACCTTGTGCTACGACTCGAGGAGAGGCGTCCCGTAATAGCGTGAAAAGATTAAAGACATCAGATTTGTTATTTGTCGCCCCAATTAATTGATTAAAATTTCAATGGAAATCCAAGTACTAAACGCGAGTTAAGCGAAATGTTTTGTATGAATAAATAATGTTTGCTCTAGTTATATATAACTATTCTACTTAGAATTCTACTTAGAACAACAATAAAGAGAATTAACATCTATAACAAAATCTATGAACATTCTGTTTGAACAAAAACAAATGAGCAACGGTCTGAGAAGTCATGACCTGTGAGCTAATAAATTACGGCGCCTAATTGAGTAACGAATTGGCAAATAGAAAATGAGTAAGAATGAAAAGCATGTGTGACAAATTCATACCAGGTATAAAAAATGAAGCGAAGTACCAAATTTTTAAATTGAGTGCAGAAATCCAAAGGTATGAAAAATACCAGAGCTCAACGAAATGCTTGTCATTTTCAGAATCAGGCAAGACATATAATGTATTGCGATGCTAAAAACTTCCTACATTACGCAGCAGTCTTTTAATTCGTTTTGTTATTAAAGCAGTCTTTTAATTCATTTTATTCGTTTTGAGTATGCAAATATACCAATCGATGCCTTTTGACTAAATTCACAAAATTCACTGCTTTTTCAGCTCTTGAAGCACCCCATAATTTAGATCGTTCTCCCAAGGAATTCATTGACTGCCATTTAATTTTAATTATTGTCCATAACATTTCCAATTGCTCATGCTATTCTGAGGTGATTTTAATGGATTGGTCATCCTCATATCGAGATAAAACGATAGCAGGATTGTTTTTACTCCGCATTTTCTTCCGTTTTCGTCGAGGATCATCAGATTGGCACCCATAAACGTTAGATTGATTAGAAGAGCAACTTGGACTTCGTTTTCTTCTAAAGCATAACGAAGTTTTGCGTCCAACCCAACTACTTTTACGCTGAAAACATTTCTCAGGAACAAAATCACTACTGGAGTAGTGACTTCTGTTAAGTTTTGGGACTACATCGGTACTCAGTTCCTTTACATCAACATCAACATTTCTAGTTCCACGGTGTCGGAAACATTTACCCAAGCCGTGAGGCTTAGAAGAACTTTCGCTTATGTTACCACGAGTAACGTCTGTATTTTCTTTCCCCAAACCTAACCTTCTCCAATTCTGATTCCGATTGTCGTATTCTTTGCGCATCGAAAATTCAACAAAATTGCATCTACTTTCATCAACAAAATTTTCGATTTTTTCATTTTTCATACCGCACCTCGTATAACGATGATCATCTTCATTTGAACGATTTCGATTTATTCTAACTCTTTTCAAATAATTGTTATGCATGGGGAAATTCAATCTACGAAGAGTCCTGCTCTCTGTTGAAGAACCGTATTTAAAAGTAGGGATCCACGCTGAATTTTTAACACGCTTTTTCCTAGAATTGCTTTGCTCATCGCAGGATCGCGTATCTTTATTGCTACTGACTTGATGTCTGGGATACCGTGATACTTGCATCATCCACCGTGCTTGCATACCATGCAATAAAGACTGTCCACTATTGAGCGGTTGCATGCAAAAGAAATTGAGTGGAATGTTAGGAAAATACATGCATTATTGCGACAATTAATATAAATTCTAAGGATTACCAATCCATACCTACACGAAATAACCAAGATTTTTATTAAACATGCATAAAAATTAACACACTCTTCGATTTGGAAGTATTCATAAAATAACCTCAAAGTCAACCTCAATAAACTAAATTAAAAAATTTTACATATCAATACATAGTGCAGCAAAAGTGTTTTAATCCATTCTCAATCATTGAAGGCAGCATGCGCAATAAAAAAATAAAAAAATAAATTAAAAAAATTTACATATCAATACATTGTGCAGCAAAAGTGTTTTGATCCAATAAAAATCATTGAAGACATCATGCGCAAAAATAAAAAAGTTTTCAAAAAGTAACAAAAATACTAGCATCGATGATTTAACTCACAAAAAATCCAAAAAGTAACAGGAAAAGGTAACTCACAAGTCCATGTCGTTGACGGTAGAGGCCGGGCACTGCAGCTCTGTCCTGACATGGCACGGCTTGTGGCACTTGAGCCCGCAGTCCCGGCACTCGTAGCCCTGCTTGCCCAGACGACGGTTGAAACTGCGCTCACACACCGCGCAGTTCAGCGAGCTGTGGGGCAGTCAACAGTTCAGCGAGCTGTGGGGCAGAGAACAGTTCAGCGAGCTGTGGGGCAGTGAACAGTTCAGCGAGCTGTGGGGCAGTCAACAGTTCAGCGAGCTGTGGGGCAGTCAACAGTTCAGCGAACTGTGGGGCAGTCAACAGTTCAGCGAACTGTGGGGCAGTGAACAGTTCAGCGAACTGTGGGGCAGTCAACAGTTCAGCGAACTGTGGGGCAGTCAACAGTTCAGCGAGCTGTGGGGCAGAGAACAGTTCAGCGAACTGTGGGGCAGTCAACAGTTCAGCGAGCTGTGGGGCAGTTAACAGTTCAGCGAGCTGTGGGGCAGTGAACAGTTCAGCGAGCTATGGGGCAGTCAACAGTTCAGCGAGCTGTGGGGCAGTCAACAGTTCAGCGAGCGAACACAACTGAAGTTGCTTTCTGCGATTAATTAAGGTAAGCGATGTGTGATTATTGCCTTCATCACTGTTCGCGTATGCATAAATACACAGCTAAATAATACAGGACACAACATTTTTTCATGCAAAGTGGGCCATTAAAATATAAAAGGACGGAACGCTAACTTGCCGTTTCACCGTTAGATAAATTTTATTGTTAAAGATGCATTCAATCTTATGTAGATTAAACGTAATTTGTAAATATCTAAAGGTAACTTCAAGATGATAATTAAGACGCTTACCTGGAGATGTGTTTCGCGACGAAGGTGTGGGCGCAGAAGACGTGTAGTTTGGTGCCTCTTTTACGCCACCTATTGCGCTGCTGTAGCGATACTGGTACCAAGTAGTGCCTACGGGATCATCAAATTATGACAATACATTGCATAAATAATAGAATAGAATAGAATAGAATAGAATAGAATAGAATAGAATAGAATAGAAGTGTCGGCACTGAAGAAATAGGCCCATGGCCTGTTGCCGATTCTTGAATTTTTCGTGACTTGATTCACAAGGGATCCGGCCTTTGGAACCCGATCTTTCCATAACTGACGATTGATTGACATAGTTGCTGGACTTATTGCCTGGTCCGTAATTTGCTAGGCATTTTAAGACTGAACATATGCTCCTGCATAGCTTCGTCTGGACTTATTGCCTGGTCCATAATTTGCTAGGCATTTTAAGACTGAACATATGCTCCTGCATAGCTTCGTCTACTCTGTTCTTGAAGGCGTGCCTGTACATTTTATTGTTCAAATACCGACGACTCAAAACCAAAATCCTCAGTGGTTACCTATGTTGGTGCAGTCATTACCTACAACATTTATTTCCACATGAAATTGTAATTACAAAATTATTGACCTCAGTACGCCATTCTCGAGCGCCTCAATGATAAGCATGGAGGCCTCGTTGACGTAGGTGCGTGTAGAAGAGCTGCTCAAGCCTGAGGTCTCGCTCAGCGAGGACCGGGCCGACCCTGTGTCGCTTCTCAGCTCCGCGGGCTCACGGCTGCCGCGCTTAGGCACTGACAACAAACCTGCAGAAACAACCCATCACATTTATAACCGTCATCCAACTATAGAAGATAAAAATGGAATAGCATCACGCATCCACCTGCAGAAACAACACATCACATTTTCAATCGTCCTTCAACCATAGAAGATAAAAATGGAATAGAATCATCCACCTGCAGAAACAACATCACATTTATAACCGTCCTTAAAATATAGAAAATAAAAATGGAATAAAATCATCCATAAGTCACAATCTTCTAAACGAATCCTCTCAAGTAAATAAGATACAAAACAAAGTGCTCTTGGAGTCATCGTGTATTCGTTAATTCCAATAATATGGTGATTGTACAACATAAAAACTCGAGAAATCATTGTTGTATAAATAAAAATTAGGTACATTGTCACATTGTGGGTATTATATGAAGTATTTTAATATTAAATTAGTCATATACATAAAAACTTGGCATTGCGAGTCAATGAAGATGGTAACGGATCATAAATCTGCATAAATAAAAAATGTGACCGCAAATATATACCTACATACAATCACAGGTATCAATCAGACAGAAATATTTATCGTAAAAATACTAGGTATAGCAACAGCCAAAGGGAACAATTTATTCCGAAAAATTAAGAAAACAGGGCGAGGACAGATAAATCTCCTTATGTATGAGATGACAATGGTAGTAACGAAAACAGACGCGAGTAGGAAGAGTAAAGCAGAACTTTAAGGCAGCTGTTCTCCTTTCAAACGGCCGGCTATCAGTGGTAGTAATTTTGGACTACAGTTTTGATCTCCCTATAAGATGATCTATAGTCCATTACCCATGGACTATAGATAGATTACCCATTTTCAAACTCACCGGATTTAACTACGGAATTACGTTTTATGAGGGCTACCTCAAATGAGTGATTGAAGGGGCTAAGGTCCACTGAATTGAAAGCTCCGTAGAGTTACGTAGAACTTCATAACCAGAATATGGCAATGAATTGACAAAGAGGAAGATTACTTGATTGATGTGTTAATACGGAACATTTAAAACTATTATTAAAAATATCCCAAGTTTTACTCGTACGAATCAGAATAAAGTTTGGCTGAAAATTTTTTCGTTACTTTCAATTAAACTACAAAATAAATGATACTTCCTCGCCCACACTGCGTAATATTCTCGATGTAAAATTATTAAGAGAGGCTCCCATCGATTAGTTACTGCAGGCTGTGCACGTAAAACAATCAAACTCAAATATTAGTGATGTTGCAATACATTCAATGAAATAAATAATACATTCGTGATGGTCTCATTAAAAACTGAAAATTAATCCACCGAATGTCAGGTAAAACACAGCGCGGGACTTAGGTTTTCTTAACATACCATACACGGAGATCTAAACGAAATAAATGAGCGATGAATATGCGTGCATTTTGATTAAAAGTTGAAGAGTGAATAAGATAATAAAACTGACATCATTCACTAAAAGAGTTTGCTACACTATCTTCATTGTATCTTAATTTAAAAAATTGACTTGAAATTAATTTTACGAATATCATGCAGCAGAACGAATGCTACAAAGTGCACTTTCACGAAACACTCATTCCTCACCAGAGAAATTTGGTCCACGATGCAGATAGGCCACACAGAAGATTGTAAAATTAAGTATTTTGGTTAGCACATGTGCATGTAAATCTGTTAGGTAAATCATTGAGAAAAAATTTTTATCTTTCATCAAGTTTATCAACTCACAGAGTGCATGCATGCGAGTAAACACGTCCGCTGAGTCTAAGAACGTTCCTATATTCGAATAGATTACTCATTTATTCATTTAGAAGAGTTAAGTATAAATTCTGTAATGATTCATATTATGAATCAACAAGTTCAGATTTACATATCATGAATCACTAAGATTCTACATATTTTATTGGAAACGTATTTTACGATTGAACAGAACCCAGAGCTGAAATTTCTAAAATTTAGGTTGAAATGAGCTCACATGCAGGTTTAGATTTTCGAAATAGAAAGAACTTCTAACGGCAAGAATCTCATAAACTATTTGGAATCGCATGAATCTATTATCAGGTATTTTATTCATAATAAAACAATAGTAATAGAAATGTTGCCGGAAGATAGCATCAGTAAATTAAAAAAAAGACGCATAAATATGTGAATGGTTGTTTTCAAAGTAATGCTGGAATTTTAATTGTCCTAAATAGAATGTCCAACGTAAATATAATCTAGGAGTTTTCACTATATTTCATATTACTGAGTAAATTAGGAGTGGTTTTTTAACATTAACCTAACCTGCTATCAGTCTCTAAATAATTTTTTTCCGAGGTTTTTTTTCACACTATATAATTTCAATGATGTAGTTTGACTTCACCGTTCTATCGATACCAATTTTATTTCTTACTTTGATTATACATAATTTCCTGTATACCGGTATTGCAAATATGAGTAGAAGATTGCCTATCTGCAAAAGTCCAGTACAGTCTCACCTCGTGAGACTGTACCGAGTCCAATTCCGAGGTAGGTTCGAAGTGCAATTAAATAAATTATTATGAAGCACAAAAGAATAAAATGAGAGAACCAACCTTGTCGGTGCAGTAGATACAAGTAGTGGGAAGGACCTGAGCAACACAACACAAACGTTACACAGCAACTCTAGTTATTCATTAGCAGAACATTGCTACAGGAAAGTGACATAGTTAATAACTCAGGGTGCATAGATAATGATCATCACCAGAGACCATGATCACCATTCAGAGACCATGATCATGACCAGAGACCATGATCACCATACAGAGGCCACGATCACCATACAGAGACCATGATCATCATACAGAGACCATGATCACCATACAGAGACCATGATCATCATACAGAGACCATGATTATCAGCCGAGTAATAATTTAGTGGCCCGGGAGCAGAGCGGAATAAGATGAATTATGAATATCAGGAACAATATCCTTAATAATGAATATTATGACCAGTATTCATACTGATGATTGTCAGAAACATTGTTAACGTGGATGAATGTCAAGACAAATATTCATAATTAAGACTATCAAGACAGATAATCACGATAATGAATATCGGGTTTGATGGTTTTGATCCTGACGTAAGTTTGCAGATCAACATCGTGGTGTTGCTAAATTTTAATCAGTAAAGATAACAGTTAACTTTAAGCGAAGAAGACCCAAGAAATGATCCGATATAATATAAATATTCCACTGATTATATTTTTGCGGCCGCTTAATTTTGTATATTTATATAATTTTGTATTAGTCACATAGATTATTCGTTTAAAGCGAACATGAGAGAATCTTTCTCTATCAGAACACAAGTTACTCAGAGCGTATCAGGGAAAATAACACTTCAATCATTTTTTCAGATAAAGACTGAAGGTTTTCTGAGGTGAAAAAATTCTAATAAAATGAAACAATTTGTCGAATTGTATCTTCACACACATTTCAAAATCGCACCCATGCATTTAAATGAAATATAGATATATAAAGTGTACAGTTTGTATGCAAGAAGTAATTTAGGTGAATGAAAAGAGACTTCAAACTCTTTAAAACTATTTCAAATTGATTGTGTTTCCTATCAACCACAGAAAAAAAATGCAATTAGTGGTAATTGATAAGAGCTTGTATCGCCATCTATTGAAAAATAATGGTTCTTAAACCCTAAAAAGTTTATGAAAATTCCATGAAAGACGTCACAATTCATTCAAAATTTATAAATAACATTAATTCCAATTACGGCCACAGGTAAGGACTCACTTGTGGAGTGATGTTCGGAGCTCGACTGAGGAGAAGAGTTCTGAGTTGGGAGGCTTTTTCTTTTTTCCTCCTTAGGTTCTAAGACGACACGCGCATAACAAACATACCATCAATAACATGACAAATATAACGTCTATTATAACCAACACGAAGAAAATTAAGTCAACACGCAAGTTGAAAAAATTCGTTAATAAATACGGAGGACACGAGAGTTGTAGGAAACGTGTCCTTAATTAAGAGGTATGTAATATACAATATATTACCACATTCAAAACTACAAATCAACGTAATCAATATACACCAAAACGATTATTATACCACAAAGCACAGATTATATCACACTCTACCACGTGTAGAGTAAAATGATTAGATTTTACAATCAATGAAACAATAATCACACATTAATCACAAATAACCTCCCCGAAGGCTGTTAGGCATTCTCTTAATTAGGTAATAACAGAACAAAACTTACTTCGAAATGTGATTACGATCAACAATACTGAGATACAAGCACTGAGAGAGAAGGGTTATGAATAAATACGTACTCACAATTTTACGGAAAACTCAATTACTACAATGATGGATTTGGTCTACCAAACTAAGTCAGACATCTTCGAATAACTACGATAATGACCAATCCAATAGTTGTTAATGGCATGCAGACGACGACTAATACGTGCAAATATTAGACATTTTGACAAAAGAGATAATTGCGGTTAAGTTCCTTATTTGGTCACTTGGTTACTACCCAGATCAGACTTGCGTTACATAATTACGACCTAGTAAAGAGTTGCACCACTTGGTTACGATCTAGTATGGACTTACGCCACTCAGTTACAAACTAGTTACGAGTTGCACTATTTATTCACGTCATTTTTCCTCGCATGCGTTCCTGAGGCTCACCCGTGGGCCTGAGTTTGGCTGAGCGCTCCATGCTGACGGAGCGTCCCACGGTCGCTGTGCGGGGCGCGTCGTTGGGGGGAGACCGCCCTCTGCACGGGGTAAATTATTCTATATAGTAAAATTTAATATTTTTAAGAAGAATAAGTATTGTAATGTCTGATATTAATAAATAAATGACACGTGAGCAAGTTCGAATAACTCACGATAATCTACGATGGTTTCCTTGTATTGCATTCAGATCATGTGCCAGCAACTGGAAACTATCCCACACTCATACTTGTGATTTTAACCTAGTTTTTCAAACAAAAATCGCAACAACAAATGTGTAAGGAATTTATTCTGTTTGCATGTACACGACAAGTGTTAACACTGCTATTCACGAGAACCACCAAAACAGCATTTTTGTTGCATTTTACCTCTTCGCCCGCTGGGACGAAGGTTCCATACTCTGAGACCGGACCTTGGAGCGACTAAACCTTTTCTTCAGTGTGCCAAAAAACGATTCCTTCTTGGGCTTGTTTCTGCTGCGCCCTCGCCCATCATCTGCTCAAGAAATGCCATTGGCATCTGTTGTAGTGCCATATTGACCTTTCCTAAATTAACGTAAACCGTAAGTAAGTTTCAGACTAGTATTTCAACCCTTCAACTATTAAAAGTAACCGTTGATAGCAGGTACGGTATCATGCATATAGCATCTTCGATGATTCTAAATAAATCCATTAACAAAACCAAATAACGATTGTGTTGAATTTTTTTAAGTGAATTGTTCGTATCACGTAACTAAATGGAAACCTGCAGCCCGAATTCGTTTCGGATCGCATGTTAAAGTAGAAATGGGAGTTAGTGGTTCCATGAAAAAAAAACACTCAATTTACCTCCAATTCGAATATCTTCTAATGATCTCAATATAAATATTTATGACCAGTAAAAAAATGTCACATTCACGGACAATTTGACAAAGGAAATAAATCATCAACGATAATGAGATTGATCATAGGAAAATCTTGTCATTAGAATCACTGGTCATAAAATCCAAATTCGCTTCATCACGTGCCTTCTAATTCTATGTTTTCGTCGCCAGTGTCGGCCGAGTGACCGTAGGGCGACTCTCTGGCAGCCGCTGCAGTAGAGGCGGCCGACGAAGTCTCCACCACGGACGAGGCTTTGGTGGGTGGCAGTGACGAGGAACCGGTGGTGGGGAAAGGATACTGAAGTGTGTTGACGACGTAGTTGTCGTCTGAATCGGTGCCTTCTTCAGGCTCGTCTAACATCGGCTCTTCGTCAAACTAAAGCAGATACATGCAAATTTATTGTGGCAAGATATGCGAAACTATATAAAATCATGCGGTTTCCATACAGAGAATAGAAGTGCAAGCAGGAAAGAAAAGTGTCTATTTGTTTGATAACGTTCCGATATTTACCAACACCTGATCGATTTACGAATTAAAGATTTTTTTCTGTTGTTTCGTTCAATTGCCGAGTTTGCTTAGCTTTCGGATCATAATAAGCAAAAGACAAGAAGCAGAGAGAGCAAGTTTATAAAGCCGCAAACCCTTCAGTGTAATCATGCACCAGACTCTAAGTACCGATCCGTAGCAAGGACAAAATATTCAAATTTTTAACGATCGTTTAAAAAAATCAAAGACACAGAAATTTAATACAATATACGCCTTAACATCAAGAGAGATCTAAATATCAAGAAAAATGATAATTGTTTAATGAAAGTGATGTGGAACCTTGTTCAATTAATCTAACGATTTTAAATGGAGGATAATGGGAGATGGGTACCTGGGAGTAGGAATCTTCTCGCTCTGAATACTCCCCTCCGGGCAAGCGAGATACCTGGGGTATGGTTGGGGTTGATCGTGTCTTAGTTGCATGTACTAATTTATATATCGATGTCCGCAAGATGTGGAATAAATTGAAGTTTTCTTCTCATCTAAAATATACTCAATTGCAAACGCAATACAACATATTACCTCTATAAGCAACAATTGAACTACCAATTATGCAGAGCTTCTACCAAATTTTTCACATAGCAAGCTGGCAGTTCCAAACAACCTGCATGTCTAGATAAATAATCAACTACAAGTTATTTAATTTCCTATTAAATTAAGTAATATTGTCGAATGAAACAATGCAAAGCGAATGTATATAGCATCGTCAGCTGGGTCACATGGATTCATTTCAGAGGAGTCAAATATATTCTCTTATATTAAATATTCATATTCATTCAAATGGCAAAAGTATCTGTCGCAATCAATCCTTTCTTCAGCGAAGAACGCGAATGATTTTTTTTTTAATATTTGTGACCTCTAAATGGCCTGTGTAAATTCCAAGAAATTAAACAGCTTGAAATAAATCGCATATCGAGAACTGAACTCGGCAACATTCTATAGTACCATGATATGAAAATGAAATGTGAGTAGAAACAAAGACACCTCAAACATTATATCGGCTGTTTGAGGTGATACAAGTACACAATAAATTGCATTGAAGATTAACAGTTATGGTGGCCAACGAGATATATACCCTGGATGCCACTTTACATTTCATTATTTATATGGTTCTTCATTCTTATTAATTTTTAAAAGTACAGTGTACATTGATTAAGAAAAGATAATGTCTGAATAGGAAGTAGAGTTCGCAGCTGATAAATGAAACCAACTTCAAAAGTTGGCACATATTATTAGTACTTATTCAATCGACAACAGAAAAAGTTTCAGCAATTGTGCACTTGTTGATGGGAAGTACATTTGGAATCTCTGAAGCAATTGCAAAATAAGAAAGAAATAAATTTATCTAGATACAGGCGAAATATGAAGATACTCAAGCAGCAGAAGCGACAGCGATATTGCAGTAAAGCGACTTACCTGTATTAATTTCTTTGCTGGTTCCTGAAAGCATGTGGAGGATAAACATCAAAAATGTGAAGTAAACGCGCAAAAAAAAAAACTGCACGATGAATGATGTGTGATGCCAACAACGAACGTTGAATTAGGCGTATAAACTGTTGCTCGGTGAAAAAGAGTGTCGTAATAACGAGGTTCTCACAGCTATTTTATTTATGGGAGAGAGATTTTCTCCGTTAATGATGCACGGCATTATCAATCGTTAATTCCATGATCCATCGTACGCGTGGAAATTGTGATTTCATCCAATTAAAATTAGGTATTTTTGACAGCCTCCCAAATCCTTATCACCTGTTTGAGGCTACTCGTTATCCTGCTCCTGATTGTTCATATTCATTGATTTCAATTTCGATAACCTAACCGCAGCTCGAAGAGGAATAACACCAACTAAAGCATACAAAGTTGTTGTATGAGTGCAAATAGCCAAGAGTTATCTCGTCGCAATAGATGAATACGAGAATAATTTCTTTATTGTGAAATGCTATTTTTTTAATGAAGCAGACTTTTTGGCCCATAGTGATTTAATTAATATTTGGGACATATTAATACTTTCCGGTAGCCACACGATTCCTTCTTAGATTAAAACCGAAATCCGATTGTCAGGTTCTCATTAACATGTTAAACTTCACGATCATAGTGATTATTCCCGAGAATGACTCGTCTAACCTTTTTCGAGGCGTGTATGATGACTGTAGACTTTGCGTTGGCCGTGACAGGCTGTGTGGCAGCCGTGGAGGTCTGCTCCAGCCCTCGCAACGCTGAGGCCGTCACGCTGTCGTGGCCGTTAACCATCGTCTCTGAGGATCGAACTTGAATATAAATACAAACAAATCTATTGTATAAACCCAAAAATTATTCAATACCTAACTCGGGAATTAAAAATATAGATTAAAGTCATTTTAAATTGACTTTTTATGGTCATTGCATACAAGGGAGAATTTTCCTGCGAATAATGCTGAACGAACAAATAAATACTGGACTAGACATAACCCAGAATCTTCAGTTTTTCGATTCATTTCTTAATAAGCGAAATAAAAGCTTGGCTCATCACGCTATATATACATGAAGATATTCGTAGTGTGGTCTACTTCTCGAAAGAAATCCAACAATGTTTACAAAGAAGGAAATAAGTGCAGCAAAAAAGCAACGTACACTATATATACAACACAAGATAGCGATTGGAACAGATTTTGCCGCCACCAAAATGTACGCAAAAAAATTACTTGTACTTGCAGATATTTCTGAGTAGAATCCAAAAAAAAGTCAATACGTTCTCTCCAGTGTTGAACGTAAAATAGCTAGAAGACTAGACAGTACGGGTGCGAACATACGAGTAGTTTGGACGGAAGCAATTTTCATTGTTCCAACAATATAATTATAGCCTTGATGAAAGAAGCATCTTATTTGATTTGAGTACCAATAGGGAGATTGTTTAGTCTTGCATTGCAAATATATTGTTTTCTTGGGAAGATTTTCATGTTATTCCCTTCTTTTGGAAAACGCGCTCACATTTCTCAACAATGCGAATAGATTCACGATTCAAGCAGGAATGTCCTCTGTCAATAACTTATTCAACATATTAATACGTATTCGCTAATAAAATTGCTACTTCAACCACATACGCTAGTTTTAGCAACGCATGGACAGATATACTTCCACATTCAAGTTACAGCTCAAGGTAACCCTTATCATCATCCTGCATGTATAAGCAATAATAATTTATCCAAGAAAATAATATGTAATTCTCAATTACAGCATCGGTCACAAGCAAGGGTTCCTACAACTGCAGTACTTCTACATTCAAGTTACAGCCAACGGTCACCCTGATCATCGGCCATGTACGTAGGAGCGTTAATAGCTTATTCAATAAAATAATATGTAATTATCCATAAAATAATCGGCCACAAGCAAGGGTTCCAGCAACGGGAGTACTACATTCAAGTTACAGCGCACGGTCACCCTGATCATCGGACTGCATGTATGAGCGATAATGATTTATCCAACAGAATAATATGTAATTCTCAATTACAGCATTGGTAACAAGCAAGGGTTCCAGCAACGGCAGTACTTCTACATTCCAGTTACAGCGCACGGTCACCCTGATCATGAGTCTGTACGTAGGAGCGGCAGCGCTTGAACGTCCTCGGCGTCACGGACTTGAGGAACTGCCAAGCCTCTTCACGCACACAAATGTTAGAGTTTTTGGTCCCAAGTAAATAACCGTGATTGATACAAGCAGTAAGTCAATGCATAAAGGCGAAAATATCAGTAACGATCAATTTAATTTAGACTCTTTTCAAGATATCTCTAAATTATACTAACATAATTTTATTTCACATGTTTACATGAGCAAGGTAATGTAACAAAGGCAACAATTTTTTAAAGAGTGGAGTATCAGAATAATCAATCCTTGAAGCAAATTCCATTTAAGAAAAAGTCACTATATAAATAAGATAAGACAAGTTGAATAAGAGTAAAAAGCTACAGGGATGCTCACCAGTGGCGAGAGGCAGTTTAGTGTAGGTGGTGGTTGTGGTCTTGACGCGTTCCCCTTGTGGACTGATGCTCTGCTGGACTTTACTGCAGCGCACGGTCAGGTCTGGCAAGTCTCCGCCGTCCAAAAAAAGGAACTGCAATAATGTAAATTTTGTATTGTGAAGATCTATTATATTGACTTGAAAACGTAGAATATTCATCAAAATTTTGCTAGGTAGTGATTTGCAGGCAAGTTAAAACATAAACGCAGATGTCATGAATACCGGTGTGAAAGCATAAATTAAGGACTGCGGTGCCCTTAGTATAGCGCTAACGCGCCCATCGCACCTACATATATATTGGAGGCGCCGCTATTTGCACCACGGCGCTAATTTTCGCACCACGCCGGCAATATTTGCATTACGACGCCAAATTTTACACTAGTGTTCAATAGTGTTCAGTAATGGACCAACAAGACGACGATACTCGCACTAAAAAGCCAATATTCGGTCCAAGGCATTAATATCTACACAAATTTGCCAATATTGACACCCTTCCCTAGTAAAATTTAGAGGCGTGTGCGACCCGGCATTAGGGCCGCCTAGGAATCAGGCAGCACATAAATCAGCTTCTCTATGTCCGCTTCGGCTCAGGGTTCGCAGGGCAGCCTCTAGGCAACTGGCTAGCTCGGTATGATTCGGTTCGGCCAACCCTTGTGATTGCAACAGATTTTGCCGCCACCAAAATGTACTAATTTTGGTGTCTGATATTAATAATTGACACATGAGCAAGTCCGAATAACTCATGATAAGATTCTCTTCGTGGTGGCCAAGCAGACACAGAATAATTTGGGGCGAGTGTAAAGACTATTCCGTCGAAACCTAGGCGGACCCCGAATTTTGTTAGGGTTGTTTGTACCAAGACGGCAATATTGGCACCTAAAACCCAATATTCATATCATTGTTCGCGCCAAGACGCCAAAATTCGCGCCAAAGACCCAATATTCGCACCAAGGCGCCAATATTCGCTACCATAAAGCAAATATTTGCACCCATGTGCCAATATTCGCTACCAAGGAATGTGTTTAGATCACTCACCTCGACAGTGAGGGTGCCGGAGACAGCGTCGTCCTCGTAGGGCCTGGCCTGTAGGGGGATGATCTGGCGCTGCGAGGGCGTAGCTACGAGCTCCTCGATGCCCACGATGCCCAGACCGAGGAAGCTGTTGTCGCACTCGTCGTACAGCTCGAACAGAAGCTCCAGCGTCATGTCACTTAGCTCACTGTAGGTATAATAAATATTGGACAAGACATAAACCAAAACCTTCAGTTTATAGATTCATTTCTAATTAGGCGAAATGAAAGCTTGGCTCATCACGCTATAATACACATGAAGATATTCGTAGTGTGGTCTAGTTCTCGAAAGAAACCAACAATGTTTACAAAGAAGGAAATAAGTGCAGCAAAGTACTTTAAACACATTCTCCCAGTGTTTTTGATGAGCTTAACATCAAAATGGGTGCAAAGGTCTAAATAATTCACGATATCAAATATTTTGAAAACTCCGAAAGTTTGTCGGTTTGAAAGTGGGAAAAGTTTTTAAGCTAGTCTGTTGGTAAAATGATTGAAAACTTACTGGAATTTTTGGATCAGAGAACTGAATTATAATTGATAAATAGCCGTTACATTTTATACTAACCCACAAGGTCTTAATTTCATTATCAGAACATGCATCATAAATCTAATATAATTTGAATGTTCATTAATGCCAAGAACAGCCTATGCAAAACTGCTCCGGCCAAGGCGACTTCAAATACTAGAAGTGCTAGAGAGTATGCCAAGCTCATGGCTATATTCCTGAAACAATTAAATACGTCTTATAACTCACAACAAAAATTGCTCATCCCAAAAAGGCGAGTCCGTTTCTTTGATGGTCGCGGTCGTGAATTTCTGATTAGGCTCGTCCATTTCCACAATCACGTAAGCGTTCACTGAGCCTGTTTGGTATAAATTAGAATAACTGATTTACTAATAAAATAGACAATCTCAAAAATTAATCAGTATCATCTGTAATCAGCGTTTTCAACTCCAACGATCGCAACTATTCAACTGCATTTGAAAAACTGTGTTGAAATGTATCACATATGTTAGATAATGATAAACTGTGTTAGGTATAATTGTAGAACTGAACAGAAAAGAGAAAGTAACTAGACATTAAGAAAGCATTATATAGCAAGTAAAAGCGAAGTAAAAACAATGTAAAGCTCACTTTTGTTGCAGCCGACACCAGTGGCTTTAACGATCTTGACGAGCAGTCGTTTGCCGTTGAGGGCGCTGAGCCCCAGCGGCTGGGGTGCTGTGGTGAAGCTTGGAACCTGATTAAGCAAGGAATATTTTACCAACAATTTAATACAGGAAGGCTATATACGCAAGTTATGCAGCGACTTAAGGAGACTAATAGTAAGTTGAATGGAAAGAATGTAAGGTCAATGTAATTCATTCAATTTTACAAAATTAATATAACGAGAAGAGTGGGAGAAACAAAATTTGCTAAGCTACTTTATCAGTGATATTGAACCGATGAGTTTTATATTACTCCAGCAGAGCAATTCACATGTGTTCGTCAATGTTTCAACTTCAAATGAGGCGAAATGTAATCGAGTTGAAAATTTTACCATGTAAAATGAATATAACAATCATGTTTAATGTGAAAAAAACATACATATTCAAACACTTTAAAAAGCTCAATGCAAGAAAGAAACATTAAAGCAAAAAATAAAAGCGTCCATAAAAATTGAGTGAAATGCAAACACGATTTAAGTAAAAATATCACCATGAACATTCACACTAAACAAACCATTATTAGCTTGTGAGACATGACAAAAAAACAAAACAATTTCGGTTATAATTCAAGAACTCCATAACGAAATGAAGTGACACGCGGCAGTGTAAAATGAACAATCATGCAAGTTAAAATATTTAGGATAATATAAAAATTTGTGAGTTCATTATATAGTGGATTTTTCTCCACAAATTCGTATTTACAAAATGTTGCTCTAGAGAATATAATAGCCAAGAAATGTTGACACTATAATCATTTCAGTCTTTGTTGCAGTACCATGCACAAATTGGATATTATCGTGAGCATTTGTATAATATTGTTTCAGTAATTGTGTTAACGAACAAAGGGCCTTAGAGGCGCTGTTAAAAATCAACATATGACTGAGAAATTCTGGATTGAAGTGAAGGAGAGAAATACGCAGGATAAAAATTAACCATCAACTAAAAATGAATAAAAATTCACCATCATTGATTTTAAACGTATTCGCATACACTTAGGAAGTTATCTATGTCCACTACTTTTTAAATTTACGAAAACGCGCACTTTCCCCATCACTTAAACCAATTCTCATTCAAAACGAGTCAATCCGGGAAATTTCCACTCAAATTCAAACAAAGCAAAAGCAGTCCTAAATAATTAGGATCGAACATTGTAGTGTACACATGTTTGTGTGGACGTGCGTGAGATAATCATCAAAGTGTTTAAAAGGCCCGTGACATCCCACACAATATGAACATATACAATTAATTCACAGGACAAAAGCGCCGACGTCAATACAAGTTGCACCCGAAATACGATTTCCACTCTTCAACTTTCGTAATGCTGCGTAAAGATGAACAACAGCGCTGCCATCAGTGGCAGAAGAATCGCAACACTGCCACAGGAATCGTTCCCAGCAACACGAGAGAAGAGTATCAGTATAGACGTCAGTGTTGACTCTCTCACCACATCACCGAGCAGAGAAGAAGTTAGAGACACACTGCTCGAGACGTCTGAATCGCAGCCTTTCACCCGTTGTGGTGTCGGTTCCAAATAATCGTGATTTTCAGTGACTTCAATTGTCTGTAAATTATCCAAACGTGTACTTTTGACCCATTCCTCAACCCGGAACTGAGCATTGAAAGAACAAAGCGTAGGCAACTCTGAAGCCTCCAGACTACGGGGTACGATTTCTGACGCCTTGGTAAGATTACTCGTATTCTTGTTGGAAGAGAGTCTTGAATTACTTTGAATTATAGGAGCCTCCAGGTCTTCCTGTCTTTCTTTCATGTCATGGTTCACGTCATAAGTTAATAATGATTCGTCTATCCCCCCGGCATTTTCAGCAGTAGCAATAAACGTTTCCGGCTTTGGAGAGTTGTCAATTTCAGTCGGCCTCTTATTTCCCAATAGTTCGTCAGACAGAGACTGATGTAGCAAGTCTTCTCCTTCCTTATCGACACTACAGCCACTGGATGCCCCATGATAATCCACAACCTCTTCTGCGCGTCGGCGAAGAGGCACATCATCGCCTGAGTACTGAAAAATATTTCTCGTGACGCCATTGGAAGTTCTAATGCCATAGATGGCTCCTCCAGATAACATCTCATTGGAACTGCTATGTAGACTCTGAAGAGAAGTACGGAGCTCCACGCGGCTGGAAGAAGAATTATTCTTCGACGGGAAAATCATGGAATGAAAAGGTTTTTCTTTAGTGTGCACCACCGTAGGCAACTGCAGGGTGCTCTGCGTGAAACTTCCACCAACAAGTATGTTATTCAAACTGGCACTTTTCTGCCAAGTAGAATCCTTTCCATCTGCTGTCTCCACCCTACCATGAGACAATCTGGTTCCCAGCTGTAACTCAGGTACGCTGAGCTTCAATTGGCTTGTCTTGTTACATGTAGCAGAACGATCACTGGACGACGTATCGTCATCCATGTTACTGCAGGAACTCTCGTCGTCAGATGCGTAACCAGAAATCCCGCCTCTATCAGAATTGGATCCAGGACTGGGTGCACGATCGACAAAAATTTGATGGTCAGGAAATTTTGCGGAAGCGTAACTATTATCGTGCTGACATGCAGCTCTTGCACAATTGATATTAGAAGATGTGGTTGCGGTTCCATCAGAGGGTAAATTATTTTCTAAGGGAATGAATGACAAACCTGAATTGTCAACAATTTCGATCGGAGTTTTAGGTCCAATACCAGTTCCGAGCTCAGAAGCAAGATTTTCAAGCGAAGAATTCAATGAACTCGTAATAGCTGGACCGGATTTATACGAAGCACGATGTGAAATTTCACCCTTGTCATTTTCACCAGATTTGCCGGCTCCAGTGGCGGAATGCGGCAAATTGACAGAAGCCCGTTGCTCTTTTTCCATATTATTACCATACCTTTCGACACCAGACGAGTAACCAGCGATCCCGGAATGCTCATCATCGGACGGATTCACAGTATCCGGAGAAATTATCGGTTCCATGGAAGGAACAGGCAGAACTTCAGGAGTGTCAAAATGAGAACAAGGGGTGCCGTTCACATCTGCAGAAAAATTTTTAGTTTTAGTAGGACTGCTTGGGCGTACGCAAGAGTCAATAACCTCACAGTCACTTTCGGGTTCTTTAGTACAACTCATATCGAGAAGATTCTCAAGCGATGAACTTAAATCAACCTTGGCCGTAACGTTATTGCCTGAGCCAGCTTCAGAGCTGTAAGTTAAATTATCGTGTTGGCTTCCAAGCGATGAGCTCAAATTCTGTTCCCGTACACCAGCATTTGAAATTTTATGTTCGTTTGCTGTTTTAGCTTCCGAGCTTACGCAATCGAGAAGGTTTTCAACGGCTGTGCTCAATCTCTGGCAATCTTTCCGATCTAACGTATTTTTACCGTTTTCAAATGTTACATTGCTTGAATTAATATCATCAAGAAGATTTTCCATTGATGTGGCGCAACTCCTTTCAGCCGTTTTAGTTTTCGTTCTTCGATCAATCATTTCATCACTGGAATTTATGTCTTCAAGTAAATTTTCCAGGGATGTGGTTAAACTCTCACCAGATTTTTTATGTTTCGTTCTTCTACCATCGTCAATTAATTCATCACTGGGATTTATGTCATCGAGAAGATTCTCCAAAGATGTGGTAAGACTTTTTCCAGATTTTGCGTCTTTTGCACTTCGATGGCCATCAAGTGTTTCATCGCTGGAACTAATGTCATCGAGAATATTTTCCAGTGATGTCGTGAGGCTCTTTCCAGAATTTGCATCAAGCGTGTTTTGAACATCGTCCAGTCTTTCATCATTCGAATTTATGTCGTCGAGAAGATTTTCAAGCGATGTCGTGAGGCTCTTTCCAAATTTTGCATCATGCATATTTTGAACATCGTCGCGTGCTTCATCACTCGAATTTATGTCGTCGAGAAGATTTTCAAGTGATGTGGTAAGGCTCTTTCCAGATTTTGCATCAAGCGTGTTTTGAACATCGTCGAGTGTTTCATCACTGGAATCAATGTCGTCAAGGATATTTTCCAGTGATGTAGTTATGCTCTTTCGAGATTTAGCCTCATTAGCATTTTGAAGACCGTCGAGTGTCTCATCACTAGAAATCGTGTCATCAAGAAGATTTTCCAGTGATGTTGTGAGACTCTGTCCAGGTTTTTTCTCCTGTCTGTTTTGAACATCGTCGAGTGTCTCATCACTGGAAATCGTGTCATCAAGAAGATTTTCCAGTGATGTTGTGAGACTCTGTCCAGGTTTTTCATCTTGTTTGTTTTGAACGTCGTCGTGAGTCTCATAACTGGAAATCGTGTCGTCAAGAATATTTTCCAGTGATGTTGTAAGACTCTGTCCAAATTTTTTATCTTGTTTGTTTTGAACATCGTCGTAAGTTTCATAACTGGAGTTCATGTCATCAAGAAGATTTTCCAGTGATGTTGTAAGACTCTGTCCAGATTTTTTATCTTGTTTGTTTTGAACATCGTCGTGAGTTTCATCACTGGAGTTCATGTCATCAAGAATATTTTCCAGTGATGTTGTAAGACTCTGTCCAAATTTTTTATCTTGTTTGTTTTGAACATCGTCGTGAGTTTCATCACTGGAGTTCATGTCATCAAGATTTTCCAGTGATGTTGTGAGACACATTCCAGATTTTGCATCATATGTGTTTTGAACATCGTCGAGCGTTTTATCATTGGAATTTATGTCATCATGGAGATTTTCCAGCAATGTGGGAAAACTTTCTCTATATTTTATATTTTGCGAGCTTCGATCTTCGTCAAGCGTTTCATCACTATAACTCCAGTCATTACGTACATCAGCCATTGGTGCTCCTAAACTCGCAGCAGGAGTTTTTTTCGGAAGTATTGCAAGTTTTTCTCCGCTTTCTAAACTAGACTTCGAGTCATCAAATTTGTTTCCAAATGATTGGTTGAAACCTGACACGAGTGTAGTTGCCTGAAATGTACTTCCTCCAGATCCTTCATGCCCGTCGTAAATATTTTCCAACGACTTCATTAAATGAGGTTCAGCAGGCTCAGCCGGAACAGCTATCGTAGAAACGGCCTCTTGTTTGATTAAACAACGATCATCAAATGCACTTTCATAAGGTGTAAAGGTATCGTCATTTTCACCTGCAACCATAGAATTGTCCACATCACTCGATGTCAAGACTGACCTTGGTTCTTTCATCCGAATCAGATCATCATTTTCAATGGGAAACTTCACATTTTCGGTCAGTATACTCTCGCCATGTTCCAATCCAGAGGTTTTTGAGCAGTAGTGGTTTTCAGCGGCATTGAGAGTGAACGATTCAGACCGAACACCAGATTTAAGAGGTGGCGACTCAGCATCTAGCCACGCAGGGGGCACGATGCAGTCCCGCCAACTCAAAGGTGTCGTACTAGTGCGATTTTTAATGATTTTATCCACTGTAAGGCTTCTACTCTCATCGTCACAAATTTTTGATGAGGGTTTCTGTTCGTCTTCAAATGCAATGTTATCTTTTTTCCCGGTGAAAACATCCGTTATCGACAAGATTTTCCGAGATGTGTTTAAACTCGAGGAAACTCCAACAGAATTTTTCGTGTTGCTGTTCGAAGGGAAGAAATTACATAGTTCGACAGCACGAAAAGCCTCTTCGCTAGGCCGATTCCCTTTTTCGTTGTCCAATGCATCATGGAAAGCGGGCCTGATTTCTACTGAACGTTCTTTATCTTTGGAATATTGGAGACTTGTAGATTCATGTAGGCTTTTTTCATTAATTGTATGATTTGTAATTACATTTATCTCATGAGATGGAACCAAATCTGACTGAAATTCACCCAAACTATAAGTAGGAAGGTTCATTTCTACTTTCGGAATTAGATTGCCAATCAAAACTTCGCTTTCAATTTGGGTGGGCGAAATAATCGAGCTTTCTTCTTCTTGTAGTGCATCGCTCGAAACAGCCTCTTCGGCAGCGAATAAATCTTCTAGACACTCAAAACTGGAGTCTATGCACGAAATTTCAGTACGTGTGGAAAAAGAAGGAGAACTTTTGCTCGCGTCGGAAAATAAAGCTGAGAATTTTTTATGTGAATTACTTTCAGAATCTGAATTAGAGTGAGTATTCCTCTGCTGCTTGCAAATAATAATTTCTTCGTTATCCTTGGAAACATCTCTACGATTTTGTTCTTTGAGTTCGACAGATTCTATCTCATCGGACACGGAAGAATCCACAACAGGAAGCATTTCAAAACACGAAACTTCTTCAGAGTCAACCGTAGAATCCTCTGATTCAGAATTTGAGAGAGGGGTTGGAGGAAGAGATTTGGAGGGTGAAAATAAGACATCTTTCCCCCTAAATAAGGCTTCTGAATCATCAAGAACAAGTTTGAGCGCGAAGGAAGAAGTTCGTTTAGGGACAGGTGGAACGTACTCAGTCATAACAGCTTTTTGTGTCTCTTCAGAATGACAGGGAACAGGAGGAGGTTTGTAGGACGGCGGCTCATCGTCCACTTCAAGGTAAACCATTTTGGGCAATTGTGTCTTATCTTTCAAGACATTATCAGTCACGTAAATGTTTGGGCTTTCAATCTCGTCAACCATTGTCTCTGTTACTGTCGATCTTTCTGGAGGTTGAAGGATTTGTGAGCTTACGAGTATTGAAGCGATTCCATCACTAGAAACTTTTTCCTCGGCAAGTGTTCCAAGACCTTGATGGGCAAAAAATTGCTTTACTGGATCTGCGGGGACATCACTGGTTAAGCGTAAAGCTTCCTCGTGTTCGAGAACGAAATCACCCCCAACACTTTTACTTTCTTGTGTTTCATCAGGGGACGGGTTAACCGAACCCGGCAATAAATTTACAATGTTTGAAGTCACTCCTTCATTCATATCATCAATGGCTGAATGACTTGGTGCTTCGTATTTTGTCTGTGCCGATCGTAGAACATCAATAAAAGGATTTGTGTTCAGCAAAGAGATTGCGGGCAATGAATAATCATCAACACCAGAGAATTCCCACTGAAGCTGATCACGCATGTGACTAGTTTTGGTGTCAAGATCCAAACGACGAGAGTTGGGAAAATTTGGTAATGAAGCATTTTCAAAATCTTTGCAATCATTCGATTGAGGTTGGAGATGCGCACGAGAGGAAACAGGGGTTTCAAGGTTATCAAAATTCGACAAAAAAGGATTGGAGGAGAATGATTGCAAGCGGTCGGTCGGGACTGGCGGAATATGCGACTCTTCTCGAACCCAAATCTCCGGGAAAATTTTAAAATTGTCATCAGAGTCCAAAGATAGATCTCCTAAGTCCGTCGAAGTGAATGTCGGGCAATTCGAGTCGCCTTGAAAGGAACGTTGATGCAGAGTGCAAGAGTCAGCCATTAAAAACTTTGTAGAAATTACGGTAGCTTCTGTTGTTGTTTTCGCTATTTCAGGCGGACCGAAATCGTCCATATTTACTTCGAGATTTTTATCAACAGTGGAATCGTCTACAAACGAAGGTTCCGAGTCTGTCATCAAGTTTGATGTGATGTCTGATTGTGTAGTTTTATTATTCAGTCTGTCGTTCGGATTCGATTCTGAGGCATCATTCATTGGTGTACCAGAATCTTCACTTGCACTGCGAGACGAGCTTCGGCTCGCTTTAGACTCTTCATCGCTGGAAGAAGATTCCATGCTGTCTTCATGCGATACAAACTTTCCAGTCAGCAGTTTGAGGTCGTGAGAAGAAGAACCTGAGCCAATGCTGCCATTTCTAGTTAACGTAGCATCTACCAATCGCGGCAATGAATGACTTCTTTGCGTACGCAGGGTCGGTGTTGTCAAGTCGTCAAACAAAGAGGGGATATCAGGTACTGACGATGAAGTGGCTGCCGTGTATAGTTGGGATTGCAAAAATTGTTTCATGTTCTGGTTAAGCGAGTACGGTTTTAATTCGGGCAACTTAACTAAATTAAAGCAAGTCGCGTTGAGTGGATCACCAACAGCTTTGCTATTTACAAGTTCAGTGAGGCTAGGCGTGTAAGGGTCACTCTCGACTTTCGATACAAATCCAATTACAACTTTGGTGGCACATGCAGGACTTACAAAATTGCTTTTTGGGTGGTGTGGCAGCCCCATAGCTCCTAATGGTGTTGCTGCAGAATGAGGAACAACTTCTACGTTTTTGGGCAGAGGATCTAAGACCGGCTTACTTGAAACTTCGCTGATCTTTGTAACTAACTCCCTTACTTCAATGGCTGAGTGATGATCTTTTTTCGAAACAGGTTTTCGAACGGGGTGACCTTCAAGATAATCATCAAAGTCTTCATCTTCATCGTATTCGCTATCATAGGGAATGTGGTCAAAAGAAGACCGTCTGGAATCAACTCTGGGTTCTTCTGAAAAGTTTGGAAATAGGCCAACCGGGTCAGAGTGCGTTTTCTCCTCGACTTTAGCTAGAGTGGCAGCCGTCACTCGCTCCAAAAAGTTTGGAGGAATATAATCGTTCTGACCCATTGTAATTTCTTTTCTGATTTCGCAGTAACTGACACCACAGTTTGTGGGATCAGATGTACCACTAGAGAACGGGAAATTTGGTTCGAAGGAAGTCACATCTTTAGCAATTAGTCGCTCTTCTCTATGAGTCAAAATTGGACTAGCATTCTGGGTTAATAGACTATGCAAAGACGGAACCTCAGGATATCCTAAATCTTTCGGTAAAAAGCTACTCTCGCCGAGACTAACACTTGGTATGTCCCGAAGCTTAACCGGTGGTGCGATTTTCGGCTTAAGGACGGGTGGGTGCGTCTGGTGCTCACGTACCATCGAATCGTAGCCCACCGGTACCACTGTGTCGGGTAGTTCCCTGCCTCGCTTGAAACGCGGAAAACTCGCGTCTGTCGATAAATCCACTTCCAGGTCCATACTTCTGATCGCGCTGCTCAAGACCTCCTTGATGACTTCTTGCAGCTCCTTTTCGCCAAGTCCTTTCTCGTTGTTGCGGATACCTTCCAGCTCAATATTCACCTGCAAACAATCACAGCTTTAAACTCAACATCGTTAAAAGTTTGGACAAGTGATCACAAAAGATAAAAAGAGAGGAATGACGCGTCTTAAAAGAGGCGAAAATGAATAATGAAAAACGATAGATACATAAATTTTGCACATGCAAATCACATACTCATCCTTCTATACACCTGCAGAACATCGTACACGTAAATGATTCCTTGATTCATGTTACAAATCACACGTACCTTAAGAGAACGCGCCGTAAGATATTATTTTATGACAAGTTATGATGAGCAACTTCCTAATTTTATTGAGCCCCGTTAATACTAAATCGACAGGGTAATCTGTTAATCTGCAGATGGACGTCAAGCAAGCGCACCTCAGGCCAGCCATCAAACTTGATGACAGTTTTACAGGCGTGGGGCAGGATAGCGGCGTTGAGGCGGCCTCTCATTGGCTGGACTGCGGCGGCGTACTCGCTCTCGGTGGTCACGTCGCGGTGGGTGCGTGTCGTCTGAACGCGCAGGAACAAGCTCGTCTCGCAGTCGCACGTCACGCTCTGCTCGATTACGCACAGACAGAAAAAGGTTGTAAAAGGTACAGTTTCTGGTTAAGCTAGTAAGGTTCAACTATAATAACTTTAAATTAAATAAAATCGCACTGCGTTCGGGAAGTTTCGGACATCCAAGCAGTAGTTGATAATAGGAAAAAATAATTTCCATGTTTAGAGAGTCCTTGCATAGACCAGGCACGCAGTCTTTTATGTCAGATCACCAATACAAATGCTAACAATTAACTAGCTGCGGAGCATGAGAGGATTCTCGCTGATTTCCATTTAGCGGCTGTTTGGCTTCGCTGAAAAACACACGAGAAAATATACCATACGCTTCAATCAAGCGTCTGGCAGGCCAATGTCAACAAACAACATGAAGATAAATACAGCGGAGTTTGATATCGGGCGCCGTCTGCTTCATACATCAACATTCAACACACGAGACCTATACACGCCTGCCAATACAACGCTTGGCAGCAACTGCATGTGTAGTTTGGCAAGAAGTACTGCTTGGGAAGAGTAGAATATGGCTGCTCAAGACGACTACGGAAGGAAATAGATGAAAAAATATCAGACATTAAATGATAAAATAGTAGAATGGGGTTACAGAGAAAACTACCTATAGGAGTAAATCGCTGAATGAAGCCCAGCCTAAGATGAGGCTTCATGGAAGAATAGGGATCAAATTATTTGTTAATGTTTCGATGTGTGATTGTATCCATACCTGAGTTTCTTTCAATGAAAATCTTTCAATAAAAATGAAAAAAAAATCATTCACTTTCAATGAAATTCTTTCAAGGAAAATCCAGTATTTTATACGTAATCTTTGACGGCAAACTAGATATTTTCAAACATAAAGTGATTTAATATTTTCTGAGTAAGGGTCAATAACCCTTCAGGGAGTCCCATGAAATTAAACGTTAAGCTATATCTTCAAGCTTAATCAGTATCCAGCTTAGTAACTCTTCATACAGTAATTTGAACGTTAATTAAGCTTTACTAGCTAATAGGTTAGTCCTATACTCTGCAATAACACCCGAACTTGTGCCAGGAATTGTAATTATGTCGTACAGCAAGCTCACATTCATGAATATTATATCGAGACGAGATTAATTTCTCGTTCTATGTTGAGAGCAGCGATGCTGTCTGCGGCAAAATAGCTGCCGCAATCAGTTCATACAAATGTAAAATTATAGAAAAACTAAATTATTTAATACAGTTTGAAATAATTGAAAATATTACTCATAATTTAGTACATTTTAAGGAATATGCTCAGATTATTATTTATCAGGTAATTGACTGGCAGCTCTGTTACATTCTTGAGAGTTAAAAGTTTTCTACTAGACACCGAAACAAGCATATAACCTCAATAAGTACTTGCGCAAACCAATACAGGCTTTGGCATCTACATAATCTTACATGAAATTAAACTATTACATTTGATATTTTACGAAAATTACAAGAACTCTAGAAATTTTCTACAAAAATATAGTTGATGCTCTACAAAAATTATAGTTGATGCTCTACATAAATTACAGTTGATGCTCCACATAAATTACAGTTGATGCTCAACAAAAAATAAAATTTGATAATAAATAGCAATTGACATATATTCTACGGAACGTGATTTATGGCGCGACCGACCATGGAGTCGTCAGCCGCGCAGTCGACAACGATGTTCCGCAGCACCGGGGACGGGGTGGCCGGCAGCAACTCCACCACCTCGATAAGCACCCCAGTCTGTAGGTGACCAACAAAACGTACTAATAAGGTTATTAAATGGTATAATAATATAACGGTAAATGTGCACGATTACGCTAATTAAGTTTAATCTTGAATAAATCAATTAATTAATTAATTGTAATGAGTAATTTTACAAGGGGAGAGTAGTGACGAGTCCTTCTGTGGTACGGAGCGACAATGTGAAAGGGATATACGCACGGTAAATAGTGGTAGATGGTATTGAAACTGTCGCCACTAGGAGCCATGTGTCCAGGCACCTCTGATGAGGATGGCACTTCACAGAATGATATCTGATGCCTCGCTAATGATATATCAAATGGGAAAATTTATAACTTGAAATCATATTTTTTTGAAAGAAATAAGTGAGGATTAATTTGTGGATTGTGGAAAAAACTACTGCAAGCAACTGAAAACGCCATTCAAGATCAAAAACTCGATTCCTGAAAACTTGCAGTGTAACGTAATTAACGATCTCGTGTCGACGATTATCAATTATGTTCACAATGTATTCAACGTGTAATAATCAATCCAACATACAGTGGGGGGAAATAAATATTCGTACACTTGAAAAATCGTATTTTAATGTATGTAAGTACACAAACTTAACAGGAAAAGTGATTTAAATTATGTATAGAGACGCATAGTATTCAAAAATACTATCAAAAGAAATTAAATCTCAATGCAACAAAAAACAATGCAACATCTGTCTCTTATACACATAAAANGCGTCTCTATACACAATTTAAATCACTTTTCCTGTTAAGTTTGTGTACTTACATACATTAAAATACGATTTTTCAAGTGTACGAATATTTATTTCCCCCACTGTATATCATAATGAAAAAAAAATCGTCAATGCGTCACATTAATTGCTTTTGAAAATGTGTCTACAACAAAAAAAATCCAGGGGCCTATTAAACGCTCCAAGCCAGAAATTTTTAACTATAAGGCCGAAAAAACGTGACTTAACGCTTTCTTGCATAGTGGCTAACTGGCTATGGAGAGCATTTTTGTTTTCCTTCCTCAAGCTCATTCTAGAGTCCTATAAGTAGACTAGTAAGTACTAAGTATCTTGAATACAAGGCTACCAGCTTTATCTTACATGGGAAATTGAACAAAATATTGCGTCAGAAAAAAAATGATTATTAAAAAAAATCTCAATTGGCACTATGCTTTCTTGAGATAGCAGGAGTATAAATTATCGAAAGGTCGTCGACCTGCAAGTAACCACACGACCTGTCACGGCATCCCGCGATTCTCACTCGCTACACACACGACCTGCCACGGCATCCCGCGACACTCACTCGCTACACACACGACCTGACACACGGCCTGTCACGGCATCCCGCGATTCTCACTCGCTACACACACGGCCTGTCACGGCATCCCGCGATTCTCACTCGCTACACACACGGCCTGCCACGGCATCCCGCGATTCTCACTCGCTACACACACGGCCTGCCACGGCATCCCGCGATACTCACTCGCTACACACACGGCCTGTCACGGCATCCCGCGATTCTCACTCGCTACACACACGGCCTGTCACGGCATCCCGCGATTCTCACTCGCTACACACACGACCTGTCACGGCATCCCGTGATTCTCACTCGCTACACACACGACCTGTCACGGCTTCACGCGATCGTAACTCGATCGGTGTTGCAATAAACAAAAACGATAGCACGACCGAAGTATATCGCGGCCGAGCACACTTCAGAACGTGAGCGAGTTTTTCAACAGCCGAGCATTAGTCCTGAGCAATCAGAAACAAGCGAACAGCAACAAGATGCTGAGAAGGCAAAAGTGTATCCGGAGTTTAAAAAAGAATTACGTTTAATCAAATCAAAACCTGATCAATACAGCACAAATGAAGTTAAGTACCAACTTGAAAATAGGGGTAAAAACCTACATAAAGTTTAGAAGCTGGCATTCGATCAGGCTCTGGAAGCTCTAAACAAATTCAACCATTGAACGTATTGTCAGTGAGAATAATAAAAAAAATTAAGAATAGTCCATATAAGCAAAAGTGCGGGTAACATCATAAAAATTTTACGCTGCGATCGTCAATGCACGTATACGCTTCATGAGAAATTAGACAGTTCTCCTGGTCGGTTTAAATATCAGATGAGTATTTCAACTGAATAATTCTGTACGTGTAATAGAATTACATATAACTATTCGGTATTATTATTACGTAGCGGAATGTTTAGAGATCAGTTTTTATTTTCCTACATATTCCATATACTGCCTGATCTCTGTATTTTCCCCAAAATGGTACTAAGAAACCGTGCTAAAGACAGTCAATTGCTTGGATTCTATTCTAGTGGCGGTAAATAGTTATTATTTAGGGAAACATGCCAGGCAGCGTCAATGGTAGCACGAGGGCCCTGTCTCTTTGCAATAGGAGGCGAAACTTAGGAAACATAGGCAGCCGTTTACACGTCAATCAATTGTGAAGTGTAGCTCATGACATCATGGAAGTCACCTATAAATATGCCTGACGACATAATTCTGGGGACTTTAGTAAAATCAACAAAATCCAATGTGAAATTTATTCATGAAATCAACAAGAAACATATTTGTACAGCAAATAACTATGAGTTATTAACATTCATAATGTTTATTATTATGCTATGTATGCTGCACTGAGTACATTTCTAGTCCGGTAACCAAGGGAGGGTTTACTCCTCCTATAAAGGTTTGATGTTTACAGACATTTGAAAAGGAAGAAATTTCTGCAAATAAAAAGTGAAACAAAATGAGACGAATAGTTCACTGTAACATTGTGGCGCGTTTCTATACCGGAATGTGTTCAAATTTTTAATATAGTGGAAGACGAAACAAAATAAAATGAAAGAAGAAGAATCACATGGAAGTGAGAAACGAGCTGTGACTCAGCGAACGCCCACGAGCTGCAGAACAACATATATCAAGGTGAACATAGTCTATATAGGTATATATAAATGCACCTCTTTATAGGAATTACGTTAATTTCAGCAGTTAGCTGTCGATAAAACCTTTCATGGATGTTGAAACAAAACTATTTTGATTACCGTAATTAATCATGAATATAAACGTCAGGGCTCAAATTTTTCATATATATCTGTAATACATTGCGTATAAGCATTGCCAACGAATTTAAGAACCGAGAAATTAACAGAAAAATTCATTATAGTTTCATATAATTTTGTCAATGAAAATGGTGTAAATTTACTTATGATTTTCTTTGGTTTTAAATTCTTACTCAATTTGCGACTTAATAAAATAAATTATAGAAATACTTGGTGAAATGTTTACAATTGTTTCAGTACTGTTAACCTTTTGGGGCTATGACATTATTGCTTATAATTTCTGTGTTATTAGTTACCAATTTACCGTCATCAAAATATTTGATTACTTGATTTTATTCTTCAATGTTCAAAATAAATACAAACAACAAAACAAAAATTGAAAAATAAATTTCACTGAAGGCCATCGTGAGGCGAGCAAGTTATGAATGTTTTAAGACTCAAGTTTTATGGGACAACTTGTACAAATTCGTACAGAATAACTCAATCATGCGGCATAATCCTACACCACTAACCTATGCTGCGCATTACATCCCATGCAGTCATGCTTAGCAACAACTGAATTATGTGCTGCAAATTAAGCATAAGATATTAGTATGGATATAAAGTGCACTGCCCTGGGCACCTTTAAATGAACGACTGCTTTGATAAGCAGGCATTGCGCGTTCAATGAGAGTCAACATCAGATTAAAGGACATCGTTTGTTGCTTAGTTTATTATTTTTTTAGAATCTAGAATCAAAAATAAACGCTACGTTATTAATACATCAGCTGTGAACTGATCTAGGCAAGCATCAACAGTTGAATATACAGCAATGACCATCGTGTAGCGTATTATTTAGAAAAAAGTATCAGTTCACCTATAAATTCGAGAAACTTGTAGTTAACTAAATTATTATTGGTTACAGAAATAACTAGGAAGACATTCAAAGACAGCAGTTTAGAGTTTGAGCAAATATTTGAGTGTGTAGGAACAACACGTGACCTAACCAAGGGAACATTCTTACACAATCCAAATTCGACCAGAACATTTTTCAGGAAGTCTTCATTTGTGAAGGGAAATATGTCAGCATTCCTATAAGTAGCTCAAGACAACAAAAAAAGCCACAAGCATCACAGCGTGGCTTCGGCAGTACTTGCACGGCTTCCTGTCTTGTTCTGTACGATATAATTACTAAAAAATTAAGACTTCGCTATTTTATTTAATTCTCAATATACTGTGACATGAAATAGAAAATCGAGTAGAAAAGATTTATGGCGAAATTAATAAAATAGATAATATTCAACTCGCAATAATTTTTGGTACTCGTAACATTTAACCCTTTACCGCCTGACATGAGTAACCGGAGCAATATTGTCACAAGCCTACTTCCCAAAAAGGATACGTTCTAGTGAGCGCAAAATGACTTGCACTGATGGTTGCCGCCACGTACGACAACTTTGAAATGTTCTCTGTTGCGTACAAACGTCCTCAGGTTGCTAAAAACAATAGTTTACGTATAATTTAAGTTGAAAGTTATGTTCCCCAGAGAGTGACGTACGGCGGCAGAGGGTTAAATCAGCGCTAACAGCTCTTCAGTGCCCCGCTACTTTAACAGCGCGAATAGCCTTTGATTGGAATCTAGTCATGACATGGGAGTTTTTGAGGAGTCGAACACGCTACTCACAAGTGGTAGCACGCCACTCGCAAGTGGTAGCACGCCACTCGCAAGTGGGCACACGCCACTCGCAAGTGGGCGCACGCCACTCGCAAGTGGGAGCACGCAACGCACGAGTGGGGGCTCGCACAATTAAAGGAACTCGTCCCTAGAAGAAAACTAGTGAAAATTTTGTAGCTTTCACTAGTTTACCAACGTATAAGGTAGTGAATTTATTCAGAGACAGGCGAAATATCGGCTACTGTTGACTAGCAGGAAATACTGCCATGAACTGATACCGACGTGCTGAACTACCACCGTCTACTGCAGTTCACCACAGCACCACTACTGCAGTTCACCACAGCACCACTACTGCAGTTCACCACAGCACCACTACTGCAGTTCACCACAGCACCACTACTGCAGTGCACCACAGCACCACTGCTGCAGTGCACCACAGCACCACTGCTGCAGTGCACCACAGCACCACTACTGCAGTGCACCACAGCACCACTGCTGCAGCATCACAGACAAGCAGCAGAGATCAATACAGAGACGCTGAAGGCCTCTGCTCAGCTGTGCTTGCATCGAAAGCTAGATAACTTAATATGTTTTACTTTCATCTACACTTCTTTCAGCTCAGATATGATAAATTGTAATATCATTATAGAAACGGAGCAATCGTTCGTACGCCTGAGCAGTCAAGCTGCGTACATGTACTGGCAAAGGAATTTCTATTCGAAAATATAAGTAGGGTGGATACAAGTATTTGATGTCTTACATAATTGCCTTGGACATGCCGGCAGTTTAATTGCCATCATGCAACAATGTGTATTAAAAACCTTCAAACGCCACCAATATAAGGCATTGTGCAGCGAAAAGAAACGACGAACAGGAGGCCTCTACGAAGTCTCATCCGCTTTCAAGTCCATTTAAGTAATACAACTCTTCAGTTACCGTTTAACAACATTAAATAAAACAACTTTAGCATGCTAAGATTCCTTCAATTCGGTAATATTGATTACCGATATAGCAAAAGAATAAACTATGAAACGTCAACAGAGAATCAAATAGTGATTAATAATCCATGAATCCATGAATGATTTACAAGAATAACGTTACGGTAGCGTTTAACGATAGGCCAATGAGAAAATACGCACACAATTTAAATTGGTTGATGGTTATTGTCAATTGCCAGTTTTATTTTACCATTTCGGAGCATTTTCAGTATATCATTCAAGTGAAAAGGTTCAGAAATCCCCATGTTTCTTGTTGGCATCCATTCTCTACAACAACGCACATCATAATGCAGGGATAAATGTTTACTTCATATGCACAAGGAAATTATTGAAACAAAGCAACCGTATCTAATAATTTCCAGTCACAATCCAGTCAGAAATCGTTAACTAATTCAACGAATAAATACTGAAATTGTAAATAAACAACTGGATTCATAGTCATCAGAAATAAAGTGGTCATTAAATAGAGCACAAAGTGAGCCGTTTTAGAGCACTACAGTTGACGTGACCGCCTGGCTTAATGTTTATTTTCAACACCAGCAACATGCGACGCGGGTGGGGGAGTAAATGGAAGGTACAAAGTGACTCACAATTTAGAGCTGAAAACTCGCAAGGAATAATAGGAAACAATTTGACAAACGTAAGGAATTGTTAGATTTATTTGGTATGGGACGAAGATGAGACGATGCAGGTAACAATAGGTTATAGGTATATTCTCATTTCAATATTCAGACGGGTTCTGTCGACAGCGTAGAAACAAATAACAAATTTTCATATCTAATTAATGAATGGAATTATCTTGTCTGAGAGGCAATTGCATACGTTTTTAAGAGCAGTCACTATATTCGATGTGATTCTAAAAAAACAAGGAACGAATACCTGAGATTGAAAGTGAACTTTACTCGTGTGCTGTACGAGATTCTTACCTAACCATCGAAAGAACAGGGTTGGTTTGAGCATAGAAAATGATTACGTACATCTTGGTCGCTCTTTCGTATATAATATATATGCGTCTAACACGATTAAATTTTCGTACAAAATTACTGGTATCAAATGACTTTGCATCGAACCAGGAAGGATGAAAAAATTGAGCACAGAAACCCCTTCAATAACAATGAAACAAGCACAGATTTAATTTATAGCTTAAATTCTTGAAGAAAAGCACGGTGCCCAATCGCAAGGTAAAGAAATTCATCAGTCGGAAAAGTAAAATTTTGTCAGCAGGAAATGTAACGAAAAATAAATATAAACTTGTATAGCAATACGGTCAAACGTTAACCCTATGAAACATTACCCTCAGGCTAACTTGACAGGCTAACTTGTAAATAAAATTGAAATACGGAAAATTCACAAAAAAATGATCAAATTTTAAATAGAACATGGCATCATAAATTTGTTAATATTTTCAAATTATGCCGAATTTGCAAGTGTCACTCTACTTACACGCAGGCCACCTCACATGTGGAGTGACGATCAGGGAGTCTGCTAACGATTTTTAAGGTCCTAAAACATGCTCAACTGAATCAAGCAAGCCGTACCAAATCTGACCTTGAGCCGTTAAGAACACATCAGCATTACTCTCCCACAGTTAATAAATTTCGTTCGTAAATAGGCAGGTAAACCTAGTTTGGTAAACCTTCGTTTACCTAGGCAGGTAAACTTACGTTTGGTGATTTTTGCCGAACTAACTGCAACTTTCGTTCCTTGCGTAAATGAAACCAACACTTACCGTATGATATAAAACTTGCATCAGTTGAGGTTAACTTCACATCGAACAATCTTATCATGCGGAAAAATAAACTAATATCAAAATCCTATAAATCTCAATTTTGGCGAGACTTATAACTAGAAGAAAATAATTCTGATATCGTGAAATTAACACTCCAGTTGAATGAAATTCAATAACGTGAAATGAAATAGTACACCAATTTTTCGAGGAATTCGTACGTCGCAGTTCAGAACTTCAGTTATTTACTTCCTCTCACGGATACGTCCGATATCAGGAGCTGATAAGATAAACCTACACGACGCAGCTCCCTGATATCTTATCGCAGTCATAAACCACTCCGTCGACGAAGCCTCGATCATAATCTAAGCGATCTAAAATGATCTTCAAGAAACAATTTTTAGAATCGATACTTACTGAGCTACTGTTAGACATCAGCACCACACCGATGAACTTTTAAAATTCATCAAAGACTTCCCTGGATACTCTCGAAAATATAATAATCATTTCTGAAAATATAGTTCTTTCGAAGTAATACTTCTTGAAAAAGTACCAAAATATGTTAACAACTGCTTAAAATATCAATATGGATGTCAGGAAAACAGTACGCCGTGAAAAGAATTACTTAATTACAAAATATTAGGGAATAAGACGTCGCGTTAGGTGAAAAAATGCATTGTAATCTCTTCAACAAGTCTCATGTAGTCATGTTTATAAGAAAATGTTTTTGATTAGTGACCAAGCATTTAGTTTGAAATTGCAATGTCTACACTTCTTCTGGTACCATTGATTTAAAGCAGGGATTTTAGATTTTCATTTGCCACATTTACATCTAGTAGTGCAAATAGGCTCAAGCCTTATTCAAACTACGACAATGACGGAATTCCACTGAAAGATTACCATCTGAGGTACCGTATCATATTCATGAACTCGAACACCATTACGAAGCTAGAGTTCGTGTTGGGCAAAGGTAGGAAGCTATTTAGTTAGAGCGAACACCAGAGAAACTAGTGCTAAATAAAATGACTTTCACTATACCTAATAAGGTATTATTGCAGATTAACTACATCCAAAAAAAAGGGTGTTTTTTTTTAATTATATGTTTTTTGGGGTGTAGATTACGAATCTGAAATCCATTTTTGGCGGTCGGCATCGGAAAACCGATTTTTTTCCGACCCAAAAATCGCAGAAAAAAATCGGTTTTCCGATGCCGACCGCCAAAAATGGATTTCAGATTCGTAATCTACACCCCAAAAAACATATAATTAAAAAAAAAAACACCCTTTTTTTTGGATGTAGTTAATCTGCAATAATACCCCTAATAATATGACTGAAATCATAGAAATTGACTTCAAAACATAGGGTTTTATCATCTGCGACTTAATTTAACCCTCAATTTTCTCAATGAAATGAACAAAAAATAATAGGTTCGTTCTTGCTATCGTTAATTACACTAATAATCGTCAATCAATTGAATTCATAAGCAACTGACTTTGCCAAAAATTGTCAATACAAACTCGATATTATTAAAAAACTAATATAAATTTTCCGTGTCTTAGCACACGTGTTGAAAGCATGCAAATGGACCCTACAACTCAAAACAGTTGCAATGCTTACGAACCTCAAGCGCAGTCCGTGCGGTCATGTCATTGAGCAGCGATAGGTAGGGTCCAGCTATGGCCGAATGAGGTCCTCTATAAAGCCAAGCCATGACTGTGTTTATCCAGCGTACAGCATCGGCGTCCTGACCAGCAGCTGCTCCAGCTGAACCAGCAGGTAATGCTGATACAGCAGGTACAATAGTGGGCACCCTACGTTCTTCCTGCTGCTGTTGTTGCTGAGGACTAGTTTCTGTTCTTACTTCGTCAGTAGAAGAAACAGCTGCCGCTTTAGTTACGTCATCGATATAAACCTCATCTTCGTCACCGCGCAAAAATTTATCGTACAAAAGCTTGAGAAGACCTAATATAAGAATGGCCGAGAAGAGCCAGCCTAGAAGCAACGTGTTGAGGGTGTCCATTGTGTCGGATGAACCACCGCCCCGCAACCACCATGTCCAATGTTCTACTGAGCTAGCTAGCATTTCTGGCATCCACCACAGTATGTCCAAAAATACACTCCAGACTGTGTCGCCCCGCGGCTCGACACTTTCCTCGTCTGTAGCCATAGCCAAGAATATCACCGCTCACACGCTTAACTGAAGTCCCGTCAATCGTCACACAGCGTGAGAGTCATCTCTGGAAATGATTTCGAGCGCCGTGCCATGACATGTACCGTTCACTAGCACGAACAATCCTTCACTGAGCCTGAGCGCCCGGCAGTGCTAACGACTGTTGAAGTCAAGGCCACGCTTGCCTTACCGCGCTTTCTGTGACCTTGAGAAAACAGATCAGCTGATGAGCAGGCAAGCCGTTGCCATGGCGATATTAGTTGAAAACTCCTGATTGTGAGCATAGAAATTGTATTATGAAATCATATCGTCACAAATTGCCAGTACTTGACCAGAAGTATCATTAAATCAGTTTCTTTATAAATCAGCGGGAATTAAATATCAAGCTTCCGAAGAAACGGTAAGCAAGTTGGACTTGGAGCATCAAATTCATTTGAATACATTCATTCAGAGTAATAATATCACCTTCCGGACAATTTGCAAAACCTAAGTTTATTCCAGCAAAAACAAGGAGCGAAACGTGATTCTTAATTTGAAAAATTATTATTTGTATATTTTATATTTTCAGCACGCCCTGATATACCATAGTGGAATTGGAACTTAGGTGTTATAATGCTGAAAAAAATAATATGATGGCAATTGGCAAAGTGACGATGATTCATGACCCAGCAACAAAATTTGTATTTATAATGGCAAACTCATACATACAAATTATGATTAATTTTTTATCAAAATTCATTATATTGTAATATCAAAATGTTTTCCTACATATTATTTAAATCAAATATTCAGCAATAAGTTTACAATTGCAGCTTCTTTGTTATAGCGACATTTGTAGCTAGACAATATAGGAGTTTAACCTATATATTCTCGTTTTCTTATAAAATTTTCTCTTGGTGTCAAGAGGACAGACTTTTTCAAAATGTTATGCAGCAAATTTGCCTGACTCGCGTCTCGCGACAGGTCTCACGGCTAATTTCCAAGTTCAATGACCAAAGAATATCTCTCAAACTAATGAACGTAGCCCGGTCTAACGTCTAAACTTGATGGCCATCATAGTACGGTAGTAACGGTACCGATTTTTACTCTAAAAAATTTTATTTAAGATTCCAATTACATGTTTAAAACATTGCTTTGCCTGCAGTTTCAACCTGTTATCCATTATATCCGTTTTTTTCATTTCTGCTTATTATTCTTATTAGCCTTTACGAAATCCGTTCAGTATTTGACAATCTATTCATCCGGAAAATTTACGGCCTTGCTTCCACAGTATTGCTCCCATTAGCTTTCATACATATATGCCTGCACGCAATATTTATTTTAATCTCTGCTGAACACAATACTTCTTCATAATAACCACAATGGAAATGAATTGTGTAATTTGCTTCATGGCTGGGTTCAAAACTTAAAAATCATGATCGCATTTCTCATGCTCACGTTCAATGACATTAAAGATTTTTTGAGGTTTAATGAAATCCAATCGAGGAAAAAAATGGTAAACAAAATCCATTGATTTGGGTTCATGAAACTCATCAGGCTTTAAATTAATAAATATATAACGTGTACAAACTTTTTTGAGAGTATTATAAAAAAATTCGCATTAACATTATCTTTAGAGCTATTTTCTCAAAGATTTGATATAACATAACATAACATAGTGATGTCGGCTCTGAAGTGTAGGCCTGATGTGGCCTGTCGCCGATTCTTTTCCATTTCGTGCCTTGTTCATAGATCTAAACTCGTGTCATTTGACCGGATCTTTTCATGACTGGCGATAGTTTGAAGAAGCTACTAGACTTCCACCGGGTTCGATAAGGAGC